TTGGAATGGAAGGCAACCCACATCGCGTGCTCAGGGTGATGGCCTCCAGCCATTTGGGGCATGTGTACAGCTGTGTTACAGCAAGCATATACATGCCTGCTAGACAATCAACCTCAGTCACACAGTGGTAGGTGTCAGGGTTCAAGGGAAGACAGAGGTGAAGACCGTGGTTCCTTCTTGTTGTCCTAACTTCACTATTTTAGTGGCATTTATGTCTGTATGAGGGTGTCAAATAACTTTGAGCTGGTTTACAGACAGTTGTGGGCTACCATGTGAGTGCTGGGAATTGAACCAGGTCCCCTATAAGCGCAGCCAGTGTTCCTAACCACTGAGCCATCTCTCCAGCCCCACCCCCCACCCCCGCTTTTGTTGCTTGTTTGTTTGATCGTTTGCTTTGAGACAGGGTTTCTCTGTGTAGCCTTGGCTGTCCTGGAACTTGCTCTGTAGACCAGGCTGGCCTCAAACTCAGAGATTCACCTACCTCTGCCTCTTGAGTGCTATGATTAAAGATGTGCACCACCATCTCTGTGCTAATTTCTTACTGTTAATGGAGATGCACCTTCGCAGGTAGTCTTGGTTGGGAGAAAAAAATCATCGTTTGGCATCATGGCCCAGCTCTGCTTCCTGACTGCTGCTTTGATCTGCTGCTCTGTCCTACGGACTTCCCCTTGGGAGAGGGGACAGGGAGGCTCAGAGTCAATGGGCAGGTGGCTCAGATTCCGGGAGACTGGGAGACTTGCTGGGTGAAGCAAACTGTTTATTTCAGGAAGGGGAAGCCTTACATAGCTACACCAGGGGAAGGGGAAGCCACAGCACTGGTATCAGGGTCTTCTTGTGGCAGCTGGAGACTGGTTCAGGTCATCTTGCCTCATAGCATGGCAGCAGCTGCTGGGGCTCCCTTGGCAGATCTAGGTTGACCTTGGCATGCTCAGATAGCTGGTTTAGGCCAGTTTAGGCCAGCAAGGGCCTGTTGGCTCCTAGGCCCTTTGTGCCTGGGCAAATATCTCTGCACACCTGATCTCATCAGAGTTGGGGGAAAGTCAGTTTTGGGAGGCCTGGTGCTCAGTGAAAGGGAACCTGAGATGTATCTTCTCCATTAATCCCTGAGCCTCATGGTGGCCCAGGAGGCCCTGGGAAGTGGAAAGCTTTTCTACAGGCATGTTCTCTCCTGTGTCTCTCTCTGCTGGGCATCTCCAGATTGTAGGTCCCCAGGGATGATGGCCCCTGCTGCTGCTCCCACAGTGGAGAACCTAGGGCCTGGTTCTGAAGTTTGATATGACGCAACAGGAATCTCCCACAGAGAAGAATGATAGCGAATTGTAAAGATGAGTTCATCAGGGGACACTAAAGGTTTCAGGGCACAGGTAACATTTTGGCAACAAAAGCTCTACACGTTCCAGAAATGAGGCCACCGGAGTACTAGACCAATGGCAAGGCTCATCTCGGGATATGCTGTGGACCTAGGCCAAGAGCTACAGTCCTTACAAGTCCAGTAAACCAAGTCAGGGTTAGAAGCAAAGTACTATGAAGGTTGACCCCAGGCTCCCAGCCAGGGGCAAGAGGCAGGTATGATGGGATTCCTAGGAGGGGAGGTCTTGGTTACTGCTTGGATGGGTAGGGGACTTCTGAGAACTCTGATGAATCCTAGGGGAGGGAGGGAGGTTCTGAGGAAGCCCTGGGCACAGAGGTTTGAGGGGGGAGAAAGTGGCTGTGCAGGTTAGGAAGCATGAGAGATAGGTGGGAGGGGAGTTGAGCCTGAGCCTAGGATGGCAGCCATGACAGGGAAGGGTTTCCCTCAGACCTGTGCTGGCATGTTCCTCTAGCATGCACCCAGCTGTTCTCCAGCATGCGCCCAGCCTCCTTGCCCCAGTGGCTACAGTGAAGGGAATGGGGAGTGTGAGCTATAAGACTCGGTCTCAGCCGAGCAATGGTGGCACACGCCTTTAATCCCAGCACTTGGGAGGCAGAGGCAGGTGGATCTCTGTGAGTTCGAGACCAGCCTGGTCTACAGCGCTAGTTCCAGCAGGTCAGGCTCCAAAACAATAAAGAGTAAGCCTGTCTCAAAACACCAAAAAAAAAAAAAAAAAAAAAAAAAAAAAAAAGACTCAAAGACTCAGTCTCCACCTGGGGATACTCAACTGATGCGCTACAGTGTCTGAATTCAGTCCTGTTTCTTCCTGCACTACTAAAGAGTTGGCAGGTACCATGCCTTTAATCCCAGCATTTGGATCTCTGAGTTCAAGACCAGCCTGGTCTGCAAATAGAGTTTCAGGACAGCCAGGCCTACACAGAGAAACGTGTCTGGGGGGGGGGGAGTCGGTCCCTAAACAGGTTCTAGGGATTCCCCAGCATCTTCAACTCCTACTAGAGCACGCAGAGTACCCTGCCCCCCAAATCAGGACTTCCAGGGAGGCTCCCTTTATCCAGCCTAGGGAATGTAGTATTTATGTAAATGCCATTTTTGTAAATGTCTGATAAGTACGGAGTGGAGTGTCTAACAGTCTACTTTTGCAGCTTTCCTGGTATCGCCCCTCCCTCAAAGGCTGTAGAGCAAGGCCCCACCCCTACCCCACTCTTCTGGGCAATGAAGAAAACAGGAGCCAGTGGAACTGTGATGTGGCTGGATGGGGGGGGGGGACTCCCCATCCCAGAGGGGCTGACCTCAGCCTGGGAGGAATGTGCGCGAGGGAGGGAGGGAGGGCGGGGGTGGAGCCAGTAGGGAGAGGGCCACAGCTAAAGGCCCAAAGCTTCTGATGGCTGCTTCTGCCACCCCTTCACCTCAGCTCTGACATGGCCCACTGAGAGGAAGGGAAGGAACTGATCTTTCCAAAGGGTGGGCTGGGCATCTCCTGGACTGTGGAGAGCAGACTTGGGGTTTGTTGTGTGGAGAATGTCCTGCCAGTCCCTGACTTTTTCCCAGATCTGCTGGGGGCAGGTGTTACACTGACAGGAAGCTGGGCCTCAGGAAGGTGGCTGTGCCTTCACCACCTCCTGGCACCAAGCTTCAGTCCTCACAGTCGCCTGACCTAGTGCCCACGTGGCCGGTGGGGGAAGGTTGTAGCAATGGAGCCACCAGCCTTGATTGCAAAAGCAGGTCTGAATGGGGAGCTGGAGCTTCCACCCAGCCCAGGGCACTGGCATGCGCACAACCTACAGCAGCCACGTTAAGGGCAGTCCTAGCAGGGTGCAAGGGGGGGTGGAGGGGGGGGGCAAATGCTACATCTTGGTGCAACAATCCAGTTATTTGCAAAAGGCAAAACCAAAGCCTTGGCCGGCTGTGCTGTTGATGGGCAATCCACTGGAGGAACCCAGGCAGACCTGCGCCTGGGGATGTCCCGGATATCCCGGATGTCCCAGATGTCCCGGATGTCCCGGAGCAGGGTCATAAGCAGGACCCAGCTGCCTCTCCGGGTTTCAGACCCAGACCAAGATTGCCTTATTCCAGAGTCTTGAGGAGTCTGATTGAGACGCCTGGATACTATCACCTGAAGTGCTGCCTCTAAGGGACCCCACCCCCACCCCGACGCGATAAAACCCAGGACTGGGGACAGAAAAGAGCTCTTGTGAGGAATCTGCTGCCCATCCCTTCCTCTTCCACGGAGGAAACATAGCTGCAGGAGCCAGTCTCCTGGCTTGAGCAGGCCAGAGACAGCCCCTTCCCCTGAGCTGGGACGATATTGGGTTCTGGGGTTCTAGTACTATCTTCTGGTATGCATACCTGCGCTGGTGCAGGAAATAAGGGAAGAGAGATTGGGCCCCTGGGCCTGGAGAACTGGAGGCAGTCTGGCCATACCGGGGACACAGCAGGGGTGGGTAGGAGCCTCAAAGACACTTGCTGATCTTGGCTGCTGGGTGGAAAATTGTAAACAGCCAAAGAATGTTGTTTGCTTGCAGGAGGCCAGAGAAGGCTGTCCAGGTCCATGGGGAGAGGCAGCCAGCCCAGGAGTAGGGCAAGACCTCATCCTAGAAATTTCAAGTTCCTCTCGGCTCCCTGGCCCCCTCCTGAATGCCCCTAGTTTCTCCCACTGCTACTAGATAGGCAGGCCAGGAACACTGGGTCCTGAGGCAAGGCCTCATAGTAGACTCCTGGGAAGATAAGTCACCCCTTATCTCTGCCTGTGCCCCTTTATCTCTGGATGACACCCAGGCAGTTTGTAGCAAATCTGCACAGCTGAAGTGTCTCAGCACCTGTGTGTGGCCTGTTACCAAGACTGGAGGGCTCCTGACCACTGAGGCCCTGCTATCCGCCTCCCTCCGGGAGGCTGAGGCCATATCTAGCCCCTTTAAAGTGCTCCTAAGAGTGCAAACAGGGAGTGCTTTCCAGAACAGGCTACAGGACAAGTCCCCAGGTACCTTCCCACCTGGGCTCCAAAGCCAAGTGTAGGGGTCTGTCCTGTCTGAAAGCTGACTGCCTGACACCTGGCCCAGTGCTTGAGAAGCAGATATAGGAGGGGCAAGGTGGAAGCCAGCCCAGGCTACAGGAGACCCTGCCTTCAAACAAACAAAAATAACTCTACAAAGCCCTCGAGTACCTGGCTCTGGCTTGATGGGCAGGGGGTCTTCCCAGCTTGGAAGAAAAGCTGGAGTTCATACTTACCCACCTCCCCACACTCGAACTCTGCCCCTAGCTCCAGCCTAGCTGGGCTCTCAGGATGGGCCCAGACTTCCAGCAGAAGTGAGGTTTTCTGCATCTCCTCCCCTCCACCCCCCTTCTCTGCCTGGCTGTCATCTCCTCCACTTTGGGCCAGACAGCTGAAGGTTTAAGAGGTCCAAAAGAGGTTCAGTTGGTAAGGAAGCAGCTGGGGCCCAGAGGAGGGGAGGAGAGTGCCTTCCCTGACCTCTGACCCACCTATCCCGGCCAGCTCCTGGGACCTCATCCCTCAGCTGCGCAGAAGGACAGGTGAGGGTAAGGGACAGGTGAGAACGACCGACCCGACGACCGACCCGAGTGCCTGACCTTCCATCCCTGTTCCTTCTGCTTGCTGCACAGAGCTGCCAGGCAGAGTCTCTGCTGTTTCTACCTGCTTTGCTTTAACTGATTGCCAGGTTTCTGGAACTACTATCTGGGGCACCTTTCACCTTGAGATCCAGGAGGAGAGGGCCACCTCTACCTGCCCAACCCTTGCTCCCATTCCACTCCTGCGGGGGGCCACCGTCTCCAGCCAGTCCCAGCTGCCTGTGCCGGTCACTGGATCCACCCTGTAGCCCTACAAACTTTATGGTATTCTGGGCGGTGGCTGGCCTGGTGGGGGCGGGGGCTTCTACTTAAAGGAGCCGTCAGAGGGCGCCCTGTGAGCCCTAGCCAGCTCCCCTTCTCCAGGAAAGAGGGGTTACGGTGAGGTGGGAGGCCCCTTTGCAGAGTTCTTGGAGGAATATGGGAAGGCAGCCCGTGTCAGCCCCACAGACTTCTAGAACGTGAGAAGAGGCAGAGGCAAGTGTCAGCAAATGGAAGGAGAGAGATAGGGGTCCTGCCCTGGGAGGGGGGTCTAGAAGCTGGGGTGTGTGAGGAGAACGGAGGGAGGGTGGAGGGCTCTGCGACCTTGGCCCCTGTGCCCAACCTGTCCTGCCTGCTCCTGTAAAGGAAGGTGACTAGAGCAGCCAGAACCTGGCTCCGCCTGAGAGGTGCCTGGGTCAGCGGAGGGGCTCAAAGACAGAGAAACTTAAGACCTACAACTGGAAGGGACTTTGAGGGAAAATCATTGCTCTAACTGGGGCTTAAGGTGAGCCAGTCCTCTCTTGGGTCTGACTTTAGTCTCTGTGTGCCTAGCTCCATCCCCTCTCAGGCTGTAGAGAGGAAACAGTCATTCACAGAGCTCGGCCTGCTGAATATGGCCTGGGTCTGGATGGGGGTCCTGGGAAGAATATGTTATGTATGTTAGAGTCAAAGGGAGTGATGGATGCTGCTTTTGTATGCCCTTGCATGTCCACTATGCATGTGCACACATCAGCCCACGCACAGATGTGACTCATGTACCAAACAGGCATACTTTACTACGCTGGTACACATTGAATAGATTTACACACACAGTACCACATGTGTGTGTGGTATGCACATTTGCACACCCGACTTATATCTACAGAGATGTGACATGTGTTTGCTCATAGACACTTAGACCCGTGCACACATGAGCACACTGTTCATACATGTGTGCTCACAAAGGGACCCTGAGAAACATTCGTATCTGAAGGCACCCACAGCCTTGGCCCCAGCTCCACAGGCGCCTCTGCATTTCCCTCCCTGTCTGTGGGTAGGCAGCCACCTCCAGAGGCCTCGTCCCTGCTGTCACTCTCCTTCATCAGCTGTTTTGCTCATTGCTCTTGGTGCCCTCTGAAATGACCACAAGATCCGATTCCTTGTTGGCTCTTTGCCCTTTACTGCCTGGGGACCTTGTCCATGTCGTCAGTATCCTCGTCCCTGCCCCAGACTGGCATGAAGTGGGTGCACAGTGTTTGTGAATTAATGTTTGTGTGTGTGTAGAGGAGGGGAGGTTACCGAGGAGGGTGACGTGGTGGGGCGGGTGCCTGCCAAAGCAGGGTGACCCTGAGGGTGTGCCCGGTGTGGGTGTGTCTCTGATTGTGGCCAGGCGGGGCACCCTTGGTGGAGAGGAAACGGTATGCGACCCCCCAGCCTCTTTCCCTAGGGGCTGTAATCTGATCCCTTGGGACTCCCCCATGCCCTCCCGCCCGCCCTGCCCTTACCCTCTCTGCCTTGCTGCCGACTCCTCTCTTCCAGATCCTGGGGCAGAGTCCAGGGCAACTGAAGGCTCCTCCACACACGCCTGCTGAACCCTGAGCGCCCTGAGCTGCCGGCATGGGGCGGGCTGAGGCCGCCGCCATGATCCCAGGCCTGGCCCTTCTCTGGGCAGTGGGACTGGGGGACGCTGCCCCTAATCTTCCACGCCTCCGGCTCTCCTTTCAAGGTAGGTGCACCTGGCAGATGGAGGGCCAACTTGAGGTGAACAGGAAAAGGGCCCAGTATGGAAAGACTTGCTGGTACCAGTATGTGTGCGCCCCTCACCAGACACTTGATGGGTTGGGGGCATTCTTAGGCCATCTCCAGTTAACCCTGTCCTAGCCTCAGCCCCCAACCTCTCTGCCTACATTCTCCTCATGCTTTCCCATGGAGGATCCCTACTGTCTCCATAGCAACAGTCTTTGTCTCTGCCTCATCTCCCATCCCAATGCAAACTATGCCTCTTTGGTAGGGAAGTCAAGGTTCTGGGGCCATCAGAGCCCCTTTCTTATTATACCCCTTACACAGAGGGTGGTCCCTGGGCAGTGGCATTGGTAGTCAACTGCTGGATTCAATCTGGTGATATGGTGACTGGAAAGGGACCTTCGGCCTGACTTTTTAGGGATGGGTTTCTGTCTTGTTCGTTTCTGCTTGTTCTACCTTTCCTAGAACCTGAAGAGTCCACGAGCCTGGCCTCCCAGCATGGCAGCCCACTTGACTGTACATGTTTTCCTAGATCTGTTTTCTCCTTACTGGGGGCTGCACCATCTATCCTATGACTCTCTGTTCATGCATCTGGGGTGGGCTAGTCTTTATATGTGTAAGCTCATATGTATATAACTGTACATGTGTGTGGCTCAGATCACACAGATAACCTTGGTCTTGGTCTGTAGACAGAAACAACCAGGCAGGGCCTTAAGGATGTTCCTGTCACAATAGGCAAGTACTCAGTGGCATCTTTCCCTGCAGAGTTACAGGCCCGGCATGGTATCCGAACCTTCAGGCTGGAGCGAACCTGCTGTTATGAAGCCTTGCTGGTGGATGAGGAGCGCGGACGCCTGTTTGTGGGTGCGGAGAATCATGTGGCTTCCCTCAGCCTGGATAACATCAGCAAGCGAGCCAAGAAGGTGCCAGGGACCCCCAACCTTACCCAACGCCAGTGCTGCCTCAGGAAAAAGCCTTAGGATTCTACTCCAGACTGTCTAGACCCTAGAGAACTCCAAACGGGTGGGCAACGGAAAGGAGAGTAAAGAGCGTTCCAAGCCCCCAATCTGTGTTCCCTCCCTGTAGCTGGCCTGGCCGGCCCCTGTGGAATGGCGAGAAGAGTGCAACTGGGCAGGGAAGGACATTGGCGTGAGTGTGGGCTACTCAAAGGGGAGCTTGCGGAAGAGGGCGGCCCCCCCATCCCAGGGCGGAGAGAGAGGCTAGCCTCTTCTGGATGGGGTAAGGACAGGAAGGTCAAGGCAGATGAGGTCTGGAGGTGGTGAGTCAGGGTGCTTCTTCTCGGGGGCCTCTGAGTCATGGGGGGACTGTACTTCCTCATGTAGCCACCCCGTGAAGATAGGCAGGCTTCCCTGAGCTAGTGCAGGCGAGAGGAAGCGCTACAATGTCCCTAGTGAACTGCAGCTCCTTTGTGCGGCCTCCCGGGGAAGGCCTGACTGACTGCCCCCCAACCTGCCCACCAGACGGAGTGCATGAACTTCGTGAAGCTTCTACATGCCTATAACCACACCCACTTGCTGGCCTGTGGCACGGGGGCCTTCCATCCAACCTGTGCATTTGTGGAGGTGGGCCACAGGCTCGAGGTAAGACTAGAATTAGACATCGGGGAAGCAGGAAGCCTGGTGAAGAACCTGGTATTAACAGCTCCCCCAACTCCCAGGAGCCCGTGCTCCGACTGGACCTGAAGAAGCTTGAGGACGGCAAGGGAAAGAGTCCTTATGACCCGAGGCACCGGGCTGCCTCCGTGCTGGTGGGTGAGTCCAAAGGTGGCACCCAAGGCCCCCTGGAAATTCTAGAGCTTCACATGTCCCAAGGACTCCTCCTTAGATTCCCTACAGTCCTGACTTCCTGATCACCCCAGAGCTCCCCAGGTACTTTTACCCTGAGAGTTCACAGCTGGCTAATCACCCCCTTGCCATCTGCAGGAGAAGAACTGTATTCAGGGGTGGCAGCAGACCTCATGGGCCGAGACTTTACCATCTTTCGCAGCCTGGGCCAGAATCCGAGTCTCCGAACGGAACCCCACGACTCCCGCTGGCTCAACGGTGAGAAAGCTGGTAGGACCCCTGGGAGGGAACTGCCAGACTCCAAAGGGAAGGCGCCACACAATGAAAATGTAAGAGAGCAAAGGGTGAAGATTCTCTCCAAGTATCTACCATCATAACCGGGCCCTGTGCCAGGGCTGCAGAGACAGGCAGGCATCTTTGAGTCCATGGATCTCAGAGCAAAGACGAGACGAGATAAATTCCAGCGGCCATGGAAAGAACAGATAAGGGGAAGGGAGTTTGGGTTGAGGAAGGGAAGCTACTTGCTGGGATGAGCTATTAACACAAGAAAACCAGTCAACAGAAATGGAAGAGCATTCCAGGTAAGGGGAATGACCAGGGCACAGGCCCTGAGGCAAGAGCCAGCCAAGAAACAGACTCATGGAACTAGTATCTATAGGAAACCTAGACTCTCAAGGCTGGAGTCCTTTACTATGGGATAGTAAGAGGAACTGAAGGAGGAACAGGGAGTATTTGATCTGCGGGGGAGGAAGATTTATGAATGAAGACGAAAACAGATACCTCATCTCTTTTCCTGGCAAATGTAAGGAAGTGTGGCATGATCAGAAACCCTGCTCGTGCTATGGTCTCTACTGCCCCCTTGTGGCTGCTTCGTGCCTTGCCGATGCTGATCACTGGGGCTCTACAGATGGGTAAAATGTTGGGGCTGGGACTAGGACCCGCTGACCATGCCTCCTGTTTGTCCAGAACCCAAGTTTGTCAAGGTCTTTTGGATCCCAGAGAGTGATAACCCTGACGACGATAAAATCTATTTCTTCTTCCGCGAGTCTGCAGTGGAAGCAGCAGCAGCAATGGGGCGCATGACTGTGTCCCGTGTTGGCCAGATCTGCAGGGTAAGGAGACACCAGGCCATTCGCTCCCTGGCTACCTTTGCCCCTGACGCTTTGCCTGCTCTGGTTTTGTTCTCATCCCTTCTGACCCTGTGAACAGAATGACCTGGGTGGCCAGCGCAGCTTGGTCAACAAATGGACCACATTTCTGAAGGCGCGGCTTGTATGCTCAGTACCTGGAGTTGAGGGTGACACCCATTTTGACCAACTTCGTGAGTGTCTTAAATGAGGGATGGCATGAGGGGAGGGGTCAAAGGTGCAGAATCCAGGAGCCTGGGGAGTGTACTGCCCTGCCAGCCTGTCCTTTGTTTACAGAGGACGTATTCCTCTTGTCCTCCCGGGACCGCCAGACACCGCTTCTCTATGCTGTCTTCTCCACCTCCAGGTGAGGGGCAGGAAGCGGAAGTCCCCTTCAGTGGTCAGTCTGGTTTGCCTGGACCCTCATTTTCTCTCTTCATTACCTGCAGTGGCATCTTCCAGGGCTCTGCTGTCTGTGTGTACAGCATGAATGACGTGCGCCGAGCCTTCTTGGGACCCTTTGCTCACAAGGAGGGGCCTACTCATCAGTGGGTGTCATACCAGGGTCGTGTCCCCTACCCACGACCTGGCATGGTGTGTTGCTAGGGACCACTTTCAACAATCAGCTTCAAGGTCTCAAGGGTAGAGAACGTGACTTTGGCCTGGGGGTTTTGTTTGGGGTGGGGATGTTGATTTCTTCCTTTTGGTATGGGTGGGGAAATGTCATCATCATAAGACAGAACCGCAGAGTGAGACCACGTGCCCCCTCAGCCTAAGGTTCAGCAGGGAAAGGCTCAAGCACTCAGGGCCGTTGCCCCTTTCCACCTTGCATGTCACTGGAGGCTTTGAATGGAGGGGCTGACAGCCAGCTCCCTATGTGACTGTCTTTGCCTGACGTGCCTTGCCTTCCCTAGTGCCCCAGCAAGACCTTTGGCACCTTCAGTTCCACCAAGGACTTCCCAGATGATGTTATCCAGTTTGCTCGGAACCACCCCCTCATGTACAACTCAGTCCTGCCCATGGGGGGGCGCCCTCTCTTCCTCCAAGTGGGAGCTGGGTACACCTTCACCCAAATCGCTGCAGACCGTGTAGCAGCTGCTGATGGACACTACGATGTTCTCTTCATTGGTACAGGTCAGGGTCTCATCACAGTAGCCCACAGGACTTAGAGCCCCCTCCAGGTTCCTTGGCCTGAAGGTAGAAGTTGTCCCTTGTTAGTCTAATACCTCCATCTTTGTCTGGGCTGGGGCCCACTTTCTGAAGGCTGCCCTAGTTGCTTCAGCCTACAATTTTCACTTTTTTGTGATCTGACAATGATGAAGGTTGAGACAGTGTGCGTGCATGTGCATACGTGCACGCGCGCGTGCACACACACACACACACTTCTCTTACCACACAGGCATGCACACACGTGCATACATACATGTACCAGATTTTTTCTTTTAGGCCACCAATGGGCTCCCAAATCATGACAGGGAGACTTGTTATTAGTTTGAATGTTTGGCCTAACTTAGGCTCCTTTCTGGTTAGCTCTTTTGATTTAAATTAACCTACTTCTCTTCATTTACATTTTGCCTCGGGGCTTTTTACCTTTTTCTGTATGCCCTACTCTGTCTGCTGGCTGGTGTCTGCTGGCTGGCGTCTCCCTCTCTTTCTCCCTCATGCTCTCTTCTCTTGTTCTATTTATTCTCTCTGCCTGCCAGCCCTGCCTATTCCTCTCCTGCCTAGCTGGCACCATTCAGTTTTTCATTAGGCAGGCGGGGTGACAGCAACACATCTTTACACAATGAAGCAAATGCAGAATAAACAAATGTAACCTATCCTTTTATCATTAACAAAGGCAGCAGAAACAAATGTAACACCTTTACATAGTTAAAGTAATATTCCCAAGCATAAACAAATGTAACACTTCTGTGTCCAGTTAAAAATAATATTCCACAACACACTTGTGGTCACACACTTGGATTGTCAGGGAAAAGCAAGTCACCCTGTCTTCTCATTTCTACAGACGTGGGCACAGTGCTGAAAGTGATCTCAGTCCCCCAGGGCAGCCGGCCTCACTCTGAGGGACTTCTCCTGGAAGAGCTGCAGGTGTTTGAGGTGAGGGATCATCCCCAGTCACCCTAGGACTCACCCCAACCCACTAAGCACTGAGCACCATGTCCTGCCTCCCTTTCAGGACTCTGCCACCATCACCAGCATGCAAATCTCCTCTAAAAGGGTGAGTACTAGAACCCTGAGGGTGACCTGAACTTGTGCACCCAGCACCCCAACTGTCTTGCTCCTCCTTAGTTTTCACAGCCCAGAGTTCAGGTACAGCTTCTGCTGTGCTAGACAGTGAGGCCTCAGTGTCCCAATCTGTCAAGCGGGGAAAAGGCTATGTGATTGAAGGGAGCCGGGTAAAGGCTGTCTTCAATCAGACTGGAGACTCTTATACCCTCTAGCACCAGCTCTACATAGGGTCACCGAGTGCGGTGGCCCAGATTGCACTGCACCGCTGCACTGTCCTAGGCCGCGCCTGTGCAGAGTGCTGCCTGGCTCGTGACCCTTACTGTGCTTGGGATGGATCGGCCTGCACACGCTTCCAGACTACTGCCAAGAGGTGGGCTGACTTGGAGCCTGGATTGGGCCACTGGGAGGCTGTCTCTCGCTGCTCCGACGCCAGCAGAGAAGGGCTTACAGGTTTTAATGTCTCCCTCAGGAGGTTCCGGAGGCAGGACATAAGGAATGGTGACCCCAGCACTCTGTGCTCTGGGGGTGAGTACCCTATCAGCTCCCACCCTCAGCCTTGAAATTGCCACACCAAGCCCTACCTTGTCTGAATTTCACCTTCTTGTCTCAAGAGTCCTCTCACACTGCCCTGTTGGAGCGGAAGGTCTTAGGTGTGGAGAGTGGCAGCGCCTTTCTGGAGTGTGAGCCCCGCTCGCTGCAGGCGCATGTGGAGTGGACTTTCCATCGTGCGGGGGAGTCGGCTCACACCCAGGTGTGCCTCCTTCCACCCTTTCTAACAGCCCAACTGAGAGATGCCATGCCTGCCTGTTCCCCATAGAAGTCCAGTTCAGTGAGGCTATGCAGTCAGGCTCCATACCATAGGTCCTATCTCCATTCCATCCTTAGCTGAACTCCACAGCCCAGCAATGTCCCACTGTGTCCAGCTCAACTCCTGATCCACCCTCTACCATCTGGAAGGAGAGGGCCCTCAACCCACCCCGTATCAGGGTTTCTAGTCTATTCTATCTCATCTCCCATTAGAGTGGTCCCTTGATCTTCGTCCAAAGGCCACCTATCCCTGTGCATCTAGCCCTCCTTGTCCAGCTTTGGCTCCCAATGACCCCTTGTTTCTGTGCCTGCCCTCACACACAGGTGCTGGCTGATGAACGAGCTGAGCGTACCGCGCGGGGGCTGCTGCTTCGTGGTCTAAGCCGCCAGGACTCTGGCGTGTATCTGTGCGTCGCGGTTGAGCATGGCTTTTCACAGCCACTGCGTCGCATGGTGCTGCATGTGCTGAGTGCGGTACAGGCCGAACGACTGGCACGGGCTGAGGAGGCAGCAGCCCCTGCACCACCAGGCCCCAAACTCTGGTACCGGGACTTTCTGCAACTGGTGGAGCCAAGTGGCAGCGGAGGGGCAAACTCCCTGCGAATGTGCCACCCGCAGCCCGGACCCCACTCTGTGGCAACAGAATCGCGTCGAAAGGGTCGTAACAGGCGGATGCATGCCTCTGAGCTGCGTGCTGAGCGTGGCCCGCGTAGTGCAGCACACTGGTGACTGGGCTGTCATCACACCGGGGACCAGGCTGGATATGACACTCAGAAGAGGGGGCAGACAGACATCAGGAAGACTTGAAATGTGGCTGGGGCACACTGAGGTCCTTGGACCAACAGAGAGACACCTAACTCATACATAGTCCCTGGCCAAAGGGGAGCCGAGCCAGCTTATTTATTAACAAGATAACCTGCGAATGTAGCCTCACAAGAGTGGCCCAGGCTCAATTCAGGATCTAGCCTGGAGGGAGGGGACAGAGAAGTGGGGCTCCAGAGTAGACCAGGGCCAGAGAACTGTCTTGGGTGCCTGCCCTGGGGGAAGCATTCTCCTGGGCAGTGAGCAGGAAGCTGTAGCAGATTAGACCATGGGTTGGAGTGAGGCAGGCCAACTGTACTAAAGTAATGCAATAAACACATTATCAGCTGACGTTGGAATGGCCCCAGCAGATAACAGCTAGTCCTTGACCTTGCTGGGAGGCTCGGGCATTGTCCTAGCAGTTTTAAATACTGAATTTTTCTCATTCAAGATTGCCATTCTACTTGGCCTTGGTGGCACTCACCTTTATTCCCAGCACTCGGGAGGCAGAGGCAGGCGGATCTCTGTGAGTTCCAGGTCAGCCTGGTCTACCTACAGAGCGAGTTCCAGGACAGGCTCCAAAGCTATAGAGAAACCCTGTCTTGGGGGAGGGAGAGATTGCTGTAGAGAAGATCAAAAGCGGTATGAGATGATCTGGCTGGCTCCAGTTTGCCTCTGGGGTGTTGCCATGCTCAGGGCATTCTGCAGCTATTAATGCAGGACTAAGCTCTCTGAAGTCAAACAAACAAACAAACAAACGGTACTAGATGTTGTGGGCAAGAGTGGGTGCAGAGCTCACCAAAGGGCCAACACTCCCAACATACGAGCCGAAAGATAAGAGGGAACCAGTCAGAACCAGTCACAGGATGTCCGGAGGCAGAACATTCCAGGATGGAAGAACCAGTCAGTGCAAAGCTTGGAGCAGGGGAACAAGCCCGCCAAGTCTGAGGAAAACAAGGAGGCTAATAAGAGAGTGTCACGTGATGGATGCAGGATGTTTTGGAAGGTAGACCCTACACACACACACAGTCTTGCTTTGCACAGTCGAGAAGGAGCAGAACAGAGCTCACACACTGACTCAGGCCTGGAAACTGGACCAGCTCCCTTCAAGAGTGACCAAAGTTGCTGTACATCCTCGCATGACCCCCGTGGCCTGTTACGCCCTTGTGGAGAGGAGGGGGAGGGAAAACCAAGACTACTTTGCACTAAGTACATTAGTCTCTGCATTTTTTATTCTCAGTACAATTGACTAGGAACCCTTGCTCCTGTTTTACAGATGGGAAAACAGAGGCCTGTCTCAAGGTTCTCTTTACCTAAGGCTACAGTTTAATACTAGAAATACCAGCATTTAATTGCAGTCTGCCCACTGGCCAGCATGAGTGTCACTTGTGGGGCTGCCAGATCTCTAAGGTGGTATTGCCCACCTCCCCCAACCCAATACCTGGTTCTAGCTGGTCACACGATGGAGGACACTCATCTCACATTTGCAGGAAGGAGATGGCTGGGCTGTGGGTAAAGGGTCTATGGGAGTGAGGGATGGCTGAGGGGAGATATGCAGGGTTTCTTTTCTGTCATAGCTCCATGGCATATGCGGCATGCTCACCTGGATGGAGGCCTCAAGGCCCAGGTGTGTACACAGTTGCTATGGTTTTCAGAGACGTTCCCGTGTGCTAGCAGGAGCTTGCTCTTGGCTGAGTCCCATCACCAAACAGGTAGTGGAGGCCACCCCATCTGGGTCACTCTGCCCCTTTTCATGGCTCAGAGATGCCCCCTCTAAATATAGCCCAGGAAAGTGAGCTCAGACCTATTTTAAGACCAGGTTGGGAGACAGCCAGGCCTTTCCCAGGATCCTAAAGGAGCCACTGCTGTTTTTGTCCAGTTCTGCTACTGGGCAGTCTCACTGGACCCCTGACTGTATCTATCAACTGCCATGCCCGAGGAGACCCAAGAAGGTAGGAGAGGATAGCCACGGGGGTGGACAGGGCTCTAGTCCTATGGCCCTGTGGCTCATGGAGAGACCTCGTGGCCTTGAGTAGTCTTTTCATACCGGTTCTAGGGACCAATCCCTATGCACAGACAAAGAATGGGCCTGCCATACTTAGAAATCCCTTTTTCAGGTCCTGCCTCAGTTCTCCTTGCTATGGGCCAGGGGGAGAGATCACAGCTCTCCATCTAAGAATGGGTCAACTATACCCCAGTGGGTGCGAGCATCTGAGGAGCTGCCAAGCAGTTTAGCTGTCCTTCAGCAAAGAAGCTGGGATTGGGATACAGTGGTTCCAGGAAGCATTTCAACATCTGGCCCAGGGACTGGGAAGAAGACAGGCCGCTGGCCTGTTCTAACCAGAGAAAGGGCCACGCCCTCTACCAAGGGGGGGGGTGTCTACCTTTTATGGGGCGGTGGCAATGATTGAACTGTAACATCTACCATGTGTTTTTGTCTGTAGCAAGTAAAATATATTCAAATATAAGGTATGGGAGAAGCATTTCAGTGCATAGAGGATATTTAATGTCACCTACAGCCCATCAGCCAGGCTTAAGGACTGACAGCATCTGCTTTTGTTTGAATTGCTTGTGAGAATGTCAAGCCATTAGAGGGCCCAAAGCCACCCTTACCCAGTGCCCTGGCACACCATTAACTATGCCTCTGCAAGCATCAGGAGCTCTTGTGGAGCCAGAACTAAAACAACAAACTCCAACAGAAGGCCTTGGAGGTGCACACTTGGGAGGCACAGGCAGGAGTATCTCTGTGAGATCAAGGCCAGCCTGGTCTGTATAATGAGTTCTAGGCTAGCAGGGTTACATAGTGAGGCTGTTTCAAAAATAAATATCCAGTCCAATTATGCCAGTAGAAAGCATAGCTATAGTTATTTAAAAGTCACAGATATATTGATAGTGATTGGAAGGCTGAGGCAGAAAGGTAACTTGAGTTAACCAGGAACTCAATACCAGTCTGGGAACTTTCTGAGGCTATCTCAAAAAAGGGTTGTGGGGGGAAGGTGAGAGATGGCTCAGTGATTAAAAGCACTTCCTGTATAACCATGAAGGTCAGAGTTGGCGGTGGTGGCGCTGCTGCCTTTAATACCCCAGGTGTGGTCTTGAGTGCCTTATAACCCCAGTGCTGTGTATATATTGGGAAGTGGAGGCAGGAGGATCATTGGGACTTGGTTGCCAGCCACCCTTATCAAAAAAACAAACAAACAAAAACAAAAAACAAAAAAACCCAAACAGCCTGACTTCCAGCCTCATGAAGAGACCCTGCCTCAGAGGAATAGTCCTCCTCTGTTCTCTACACATATACACAGTGTCTAAATACATGTGGGCATCCACTATACACACACACCACTAACACACAACCACATAGCTTAGGCTATAAAGGTCACACAGTGAGACACTATCTCAAAAACAAAATAAAATCTGAAATAAATATAACCATGAGGGAACCATAAAGAGTCAGTGACTAAATGGGCAGAACCTGTGAATCGGTAATTACACACATTAGTCAGGCTCCCTAGGCAACAATCAAGCTGTTTCTCATCTCGCAGATTATAGCAAGTATAGGTAAAGGTCTGTGCATACAGGGTCTGGTTTAGCTCCGTAAAAAGCTTGCATGCATGAGGGACCCGAGTTTATTTCTCTGGGGCCCATGATGTGCTTGAAGCTGCCCCTTGGCATCCTCACAAGCAAAAGAGAGATGCTGTCTGTTAATCCCTGTCTGGGACTGCAGGGCACATAGGGATATACACTTCTCATCCCAGGTCTGGTGAGGTGGAGACAAGCGTTCCTGGGACTCTGGTTAGTGAGCCTACCCTGTTGAGTTCCTGTGCCAGGTCAGTGAGACCTCTGGCTTCTGTGTGCACACACATACAATCCTTTTTTACGGCGGGATACCTATGGTGGGGATGCTGTACTGCTGGGCTCTGGATAGGCCTTTCAGAGGACAGTTCTGATGACAGGTTTAACAGGGCCAGTGAGTCCGCTTCTGAGAATTGTCCTCAATAACTTCCAGCAAAGTGGAAACCTTCACATTTAATGATTGATGTTCCTGGGGGTTAATTTCCAAAGGGAATTGGAAACAACCTAAATGCCCAGATATCCTCAGAGGGAGGCCAGGAGTCCTCAAAGTTATATGAAACTATTAAGAAAAAAGGGAACTCCCGCAGTGCTGTTGAGTGAAAACAGCAGGGCTCCAGTAAGAGAGGCTGAATCATTGTGTTAGGAAAGCAGAACCAAACAAGGAGGAATTGCTAGATTGCAGTTGCCTTTGCCTAGGAGTAGGCACCATGTTATCCGGTCAGGCCAGAGAGCAAACTCTCTATTGCCATGGGCTTAGGTTGATGAACTTAGGTTGATGCAATAGGCAGGCAGAGAAATGCCTCAATGTGAACATGGGAGCATGTCAAGAGCCCTTATGCACAGACTAAGCTTTTGGAACCCTAAATCCAAACTAAGAGTCATTCCTGAAACTGTGGGGAATTTGGAACCAAATGCCACTGGTAAAGTCCCCATATATCCCAAGTTCCTGCCGCCTGGACTTACCTACAAGGTAAGGAGTGACTTGTTTGCTCAAATCAGTCCCTGTCCCTATAGACACTGTGTTGCCCACGCAGAACCAGAGGGGCAGGGGAGCACTGGCTCCTAACCACGTGGAGGAGGTGCGTCTGCACCGCGTGGAGTCCATCAGTGATCTACACAGTGGAGGTAAGGATGCGGAGGGGAGGTGGGAAAATTGCTGTGGGTACCACCTTCCTGACAAACCACCCTCCCTGCAGGTTCACTACAGCCCTGTCTGGCTGAAGAGGCACAGACATGGGAAGAGCTTCTGAGTGTCTTGCCGCCATCACTGTGCACCCAAGCTGGTTGCAGCCCCATATGTGGCCGTGGGGGGTTCCTACTGCTATTGGCACTGCTGGTATTCACCTGCCTGGCATTAGCCATCCTGGCGGTCTACATAAGTGGTAGGGACAGGCAGGGCTGGGAACCCAGGGTGTAAATGCAGCGATGAAGGGTGGGGCCAGGGTCAGTGGGCGGTGCCCCCCCCCCCCCGGTTGGAGAGGAGCTGCTTCCGCACATGATCTGACAAGGTCCCACCACTGTCTTCCCACCCCCAGTGCTGCAGAGCGAATCCCTGAGGGTCTTGGCACACACACTGCAAACGCAAGAGGAGACTCTGCTCAAATTGCGCCTGGCTAGCCTCAGCCAGCTAAGGAGACTCAACTCCAGCGAAGCTCGGGCACCCAGCGCACCCAGCTGACATGCCGTTTGCAGTGAAACATGTGAGGGGGATAAAGGGACCTTTGGCAGGTCTCCTTTCTCCCACTGAAGGCTACACCTACACTACTTCCTCGGTGACATTTTTGTACAAGAGCCTGATGTGACTCACAGCTGCCTGTCTCTCTTGACCTCTTCAGACTAGGCCTGACCAAGCCTTCTGCTGCCAAGGCCCTGCTTTGGATAGCCAAAGGTCAGAGGATGGGGCACCAGCCTCCTCCTGGCTCCTCCTATGGCCTGTCAGCACCCCCTGGCCACCCCTGATAGGAGATTTCAGAAGGCTAGAAATAGCTGTCCCTGCTCAGCCACCCACCACTCTGCCAGGCCTCCCAGTGGGGGGTCCAGTCTCAGCTCTCAGACAAGCTAGGCTGAGTTGGGGGGAGGGTGGGGAACCACATAGCAGAGATTCCCTTGAAGGACAAAGGTGAAATTGAGATCTAGCTGGGGCTAAGCCTAGGGTGGTAGATGAGAAGGAAGGCAAGCAAGATTCAGGATAAAGGTCCTGGGGAATAAGTCCTGTTTAATTCTCTCTTATTTTTAAAAATCAGCACACACATCCATTTTAGGCAGCTTTGCCTACCCTATGCCATGGTGGACAGGTGCCAGACCCCCCCCCCAGAGAAGTGGGCCCCAGGGGGCAGGTCTGAAAAAAGAAAAGGGACAGTCCTTTCTCACCTGCCCCCAGCTCTGGGACTGGCACACATTTGGTTTCACCTGAGACAGGACAGGATGAGTGCAGACGCTAAGGGCCAGAGTCTTAAGTGTCCTGATCCCGTGGCCCCTCCCACATTTGTCTATTTTTGGTTTCATCATTAAAAAAAAAAAAAATAAAGTGACAATCCCTGGCAGGGACCAGTTCTCGCATTGTCTTTTGTTAAAAATATGGTAAAGGTATCAGTAGCTCTCATTGGCCAGTCTGCTTCACAGGACATCTGCCCGCTTGTCCCTCGCACGACTCCGAGCCTTAGTCCGGGCTTTGAAGGCTGCAGCATTGTACAGGTGCTGTGGAAGAGGCAAACACGGGGGCCTGGTAAACCTTGGGTGGGCCCCTCCTGTAGCCCACCTACAGCTCGAGGCCTCCAGGGGCCAGGAGGCAAGGTACAGGTACCCAAGATGCAAACCTTTTCAAAACGTGAGATCTTGCAGGCCTTCAGGGTAGCAGCATCCAGCACCAGCACAGGGCCCAGGCCAAAGATGTCACGGAGAAGCTCGTTGTTCTGAAGACAAGGCAGTTAGCTAACAGCAGTCTAAAGCAGTGGAGCTGGGTAGACCTGCCCATGTGTTCCCTCACCTGGAGGTGATAGTGCATGCCTGAGCCCAACACGTCCTTGAAGGCTGTGTAGATGCGGTGGCGAGCCCAGCTGTCTATGCAGAGAACTTCCAGTCCAAAGCGGATTGTTTCCTCTTCACATTCACCACCCTACAGGGTAGAGGAACCATGATTGGGATTGGCTAACATGCCTGAGAAACACACACACACACACACACACACACACACACACACACACACACACTCTCACTCATTACGAGGGGGTGTTGAGACAAGGTCTATGTAGCCCTAGCTGTCCTGGAATTCACCAGCATGCCTCTGCCTCCTGACTGTGGGGGTGGAGGTAGGCAGTGGGTGAGGAGGTCAAGGGTGGATTATAGGTGTGGACCACCATGCCCAACCCTTGGGGACACAGGAATATTCATGTTCTCACAGGCACCTCGACAAAGTGCAGCACAGCTCGGAAAATGGAGCGCTGGCGTCGCCGGTCAATCTTGGCACGGTACTTATTGCTGTCAGTGGCTAGAGTACGCAGGGAGCCACAGAGAGCCTCCATGTCCTCATAAACAAAGTCCTCCTATGTGGGGGCAACGAGGTGTTAGGCAGAAGCTTGAATTCTTCCGGAAGAGAGCATAGTGTTGCCCGAGTTTTTTTCCCACTCACTGCTCTCCTCTGCCCGGCTCCTCTTCTGGTACCCCCCCCCCCCCCAGTTCACCTCTGCTCAGAATCTCCACTATAGCACCTAGCATGTGCGTGATAAGTGTTGGGGTACCCTCCCCTACAAAACGACCCAAGGCCGCTGGGCTTTCTGTGGCATGTTCTGCAAACAGTCTGGGATGGTGAGTGGTGCCAGCAGGCACTCCCCTTGCACCTCAAGGTCCCGGGCACGCTCAAAGAGCAGTGCGATGGCTTCTCCAGCAGCAATCCGCAGGTTCACACTTTCACTGGCCAAGAGCTTCGGCAGCCGGGGCAGCTGCCTAAGGGAATGGCAAGCTAAGCTTCATGTATAGGTTGAGGGTTCCCCTTCCCAACTCCCTCCCACTCCCCCTACCTGTCAAGGATGTGGCTGATGTGGGTATTAGGACAGATGGTGAGCAGCAATGCCCAGGCCTGTAGGGCAGCACAGAGCAGACCATGTAGGCTGGCGGGGACCAGGGCAGCAGGGGAGCCAGTAGAGCCACAGGACCAGCTGAAAATGCCCTCCAAGCAGGCCAAGCAAGAGACCAGGTCCTAGGAGCACAAGGAGACGGGAGTGCTTTAGACACGGCTACTGAGTCTAGTTACTACACCACCCACGTCCAAAGTCCTCTTACCTGGACATCGGTGGCAGCCACATAGCAGCCCAAACCAAGAGCAGAAGCACACTGTTGGGAAGAGGACACAGCTAGGCTACCATGGGTCAACATCAGAAACATCATATGAGGCTCTCTCTCTTTAGAGGAGGAAGTCGAAGACAGGTAGAACCCGGCACCCTGCTCTGGGACGAGGGACCATGGGACGTGAAAACACTCACATGGAGCCGGGCAGCGGGGCTTGCTGTACTGTCACTGAGCACCGAGATCAGCAGCGGCTGCAGGCTATGGAACAGCTCCTCACCCTTGGGTCCAGGGCCCAACTGCACACAGAGCAGGCCTAGCACAGCAGCGGCCAGAGCCTGTTCTTCACCCTTCCCTACAGGATGCTTTCCAGTTAGCGCACGCAGCAAGCGTCAACACCTGCCTAGCGAGAGGGTTCCCCAAGTGCCCAGGACTTGACCTTTCTTAAGGCACTTTTCCAGGGCATCCGCCAGCGTGAGGCTGCGCTCCAGCAAGAAGTCAGGAAGCAGGTGGGAGGCCAGGGCCAGGCGCAGGCTCTCAAGAGCTCCTTGCCGGGTCTTGGCACTAGGAGGTGGAGAAAGGGTTCATGTGGGCGACTGCTCCCTTAGTTCCATTTGCCAGAGGCTGAGCAGGGCTTTACGTGTAGAGGCTGGCCAGCCGCCAGAGGTACCTCTTGTCAGTGAGGCAGTCCACGTGATCTTTCAGCTTTTCCTCCAAGGTTTCCTGCTGGCTCTGCTCATCCACAGCTTCTCCACCTGCAAAGCCAGCTGGTCATCACTGAACCCTGCCCTTGTCCAGTGGAGCCCTCACTGAGTTCCCCGTCAAACTTCAAGTTTGCTCTCACCCAGGCAGTCCTCTGCAGTGGTACTGAGCAGGCTGGGGCATTCACTGGTAGTACTCCGGGCCTCGCTGGCTGCTTCATCCTCACTGGAACCCGAGTCAGCTTGGGTACTGCTCTTGGCACCTGGGCAATGTAAAATCGCTATCTGACCAGCCTGCACTGGCGAGGGATGACTCAGGGTACCTTGTTTAACTTCATCTTGGAGATGAGCAAACCATGGCTAGGTTAAGCATCACAGGGGCTGACACATGGGACTTGAATTAGAAAGTGGTAGAAAAAGAGAAGGAGGTCTCTCTGCTAGAGAACACAGCTGCTAGGCCTACCCAGGGACAATCTGGCAGACTTGGTGAGTGGAGACCCCAGAAGGGCACAGTCTGCTTTAAGGAGAGCGGAAGGGACCTGTAGCACAGTCTAGATTATGCTCAAAAGTAAGCAGTGTAAAGGTTAGAGCTCAGGTTATAGTACTAGACAGACCCAGGAGTTTAAACTGAGCCAAGGTCTTGTGCTTTCCATTAGGTACACCCTTAGTGTCCGTGCCCCCTCCCCGCCTTAGCAGAGGTGTCATTTGACCGGTTGTCCTGCCTTTAAAGCATGGCTGAAACAGCACCCCGTCCCAGGCGTAACAGGTGCAAACAAGTGACTTGTAATGGCTCTGCTACACTACCTATCAACTCTGGAAGCAGAAGCCCAGCTCCCGGTGGGTATGCTGGGTGCTTTGTGCTTCAAATATACTGTTTTCTGAGTTTCCTTTGGTTCACTCAGGGCCATCAACGTCAGATAGACACAATGGCTCCTCCCAGCCTTGAAGACCAGAAGACGCTCTTCCCCATGTAACCATTTGAAAAAGCAGCAAACATAAGGGGCTCTCAAAGTGTCAGTAGGGCATGAACATTGCTGTGTGTAAATTCTCTCCAGGGCCAAGGACTGGCTTTGGAACTGCTAGTGCAGCAGAGCCCTGGGCAGGTTCTGATCTGGTGGCAGTCCTTACATCTTAGGGACTATTAACATTAGCTGCCTGCTGGAAAAAGTTCAGCCCACACATTGACTTCTGTTCACCTCTACTCTTACTATACTACTTGTCCAAACAGCCCAGACTTCCCCTTGTGTTGGCTGTACTGTGATCCTCTTGGCTGCCAGGCCTTTGCACAACAGGCTCTCTGCCTGGGGCTCTTTACCTTCTCAGGTCTCACCCAGAAGCTCCACTCACAGGGCTTCCCGTGATTCTGCCTTGACACCATTCAGTAACTGGTTTTTGTACTAGACCTTGTGAAAATGTCATTACACTACTAAATGGCCCCAGACCCGAGCCACATTAGGGTGGCAGTCAGATCAAAACTGTGCTCGGCAGACACTCTATCTCAGAAGAATTAGCTTGTTTACATGCTTCTGGTTGAGACTGATAAGGAGACTCAAGACGGCCTCAGGCTCTTAGATGTCCACCCAGTCTCCAGGCCAGTTGCTAAGGCCTCCATTCTGTACAGAACAGACGAGGCCTCTCTGCTAACTTCCCTGTGCAGTCTACCAAATGCAATAGTATTTGGCAAAGGGGCTGGCTACACGCCTTTGTCTAGTGTGGTTGTCCACCCCCGTGGCGATGAGAAAACCTAGGTCCTTAAATGCTGGCCAAATCACCGCTGCGGGCGCGGGATTTCGAAAAACAGCTGGGAATGAGCTCAAGTAGAGCGCACACGTGGCCAATGCCTGCTAGGGCACGTGCGAGCCTTAGCAGAGTTTCGGGAGGTTGCACTGGGCTGATCCCGGAAGAGTTGCCAACCCAAGACCCTCGGTGACATCCAAAGGGAACCACAAAACGTCCCCGCTCACTACTGAACAATTCTACCAGAGCCCCCGGACTCACCTCCTCCACGGCGCTGACCGCCCTTGCGGAGCGCACTGCCTTTACGAGCACGAGGCATTCTTGGGACCAGGAGTCGGGGACACCGAAAAGGGGCGCGGGGTCAGGGACCCGGAGGGCGGGGACTCCAAACCAGCGAAACGCTGGCCGGTGCGCTGAGTTGAGACTGGGGAAGACGACAGGAGCCACACGCCGCGCGCGCCACCATCTTCGTGAGGCGCCCCGCCCTGCCAAACGGGTCGCTGGGAAGGTGAGTTCCCCGCCACCCGGTTCAGTTCCACATCCACGCGGCCGAAACTACTCTCCCCAGGCGTCTGCGCACACGGATTAGGGCGGCCCGAGTTGAGCGCAGTGCACGACGGGAATCGTAGTCCATTCTGGAGGTACACAAGCCGACGCCGCTCCAGCTAAACTATTTACCCACAATGCCCTGTGTACCCTCTTTGCCCCTCCTCCCCCAACTCCGGTTCCCGCGTCTCCTGGGTTCATAGCTAACTTGGTAGTTTGACTCCTTGCTGGAAGCATCGCTAGGTCCTTGAAATGAGCCATCTGCGTTTGATACTTGAGCCAGGGTTTGATACTTGGTAGAATAGTGAGAACAGACAAACTTCAGGTAACAGAAGAGCGATTTTATGGATGAGAGTACAGATAATAGCTTAGCATTGAACAGACTTTAGCTTAATTTTTTTTTTCTTTTTTTTTTTTTTTTTTTTTTTTTTGGGCAGGGGCGCAAACGTGCGTGCGTATGTGTATATGCGTGTGTGTTGGGAGTTGTCTCTCTTCCCCTTAGGTAGGACTTCTCAGTAGATGCACTGAGATATAGGAACACAGCCCTAGGCCGGCTGGCAAACTTAAATGTCTGGAACTGACTCCCTGGGGCAGCTTTATTGTCTTAAGTCAGATGATCTCAGAGGGCTCTGAGTCTGGTTTTATATTTTTATTAGGCCCTGTCTATTCCTCAGGAATTTCTGAGGGAAGGTGTGTTGGTGGAAATGGCCTATGTTTTTGGGAAAGTTCTAGTAGTTAAACAAAGCATAAATGGGAATTCCTCTAGGGCTGAGAAAGTGGCAGCAGAGACAAGAACCAAGGGCAGGGACTCCTGACTTTTATGTTGCTTCCTTAGGCTCAGGTTTAGGCTCCTGGCAGGTAGGACCAGCCCAACCCAAGTAACAACGGCATCTGAAGGACTTCCAAGCTCCAAGACTACCATCTGGCTTCAGATGCAGAAAGGCTTTCATTTGTACTGGGTCTCTCCGGGTACAGCGACCATGGCCATGGCATCGTTGGTGGCTGCAGGCCATGGCAGCCTTTGTCACATTGATCACATAGGGGCCTAAAGTGCTCACTAGGTAGTCGTGGAGACGCCAGCATCCCTCCTAAGGAGAGAAGAGATATGTCATTGCTCCTTCTCTATGACTTGGCATGGCTTCCCTTCACTTAGGACTCCAGCATGTGCATGAAGAAAGGGCAATGCTCACCTCAGAGCTGGAGAAGCTCAGGTCTCCCCAGAGCACCACTCCAGCGGCGCCCAGCGCTGCACTCACACCAATAGTCCTCACTAGATCATCCTGGAGGCAGAGAACTAGTAAGCCAGAGCTGGACAGGCCAGATTCATCAGAGCCCAACTTTGCCATGGTACCGTTTGGTTTACTGCTATGACTGAGTCTGCCTCTAGAGCGGGGCTCTTTTGACAGGGCCTCTAAGTAACTTCCCAGGACCTCCAGAGAATGACTGTCCTTAGAACCCAATGACTGGACTCTATGTAACCCATTGAGATCTCCCAGCACACAGTCATGCCTTCCTGCTCCAGGATGGGATCTTTTGTTTTCTTGTTTTTGAGACAGGGTCTCAATTATATAGCTCCAACCATCCTAGAACTCATTCTGTACACTAGGCTGGCCTCGAACTCAGAGATATGCCTCCTGAGTGCTGGGATTAAAGGCCTGTGCCACCATTGCCCAGCAGGGGAGGATCTTTTTTGAACCCCTAGACCATGACCAACTTCTCATGTCCCTTAGGCAAAGTCTTCTCTTCAAGTCTTTCTGGGACAGGGCTGTCTCTGGACTCAAAGCCCTAAACCTCAGCTTTTACTTACCAGAGACAAGAATTTCCCAGAGCTCCGGTGTGTGAGGCGAGCATAGGCCAGAACAGGTAAAGGATGTGTATGCCCAACAAGGGCTACACGGAAGGCCTCTTCCAGGCGGTGTCGGACGAAGGCCTGATGGTAGGCAGCTGGCAGTCTGGGTGGGAGGTAGATGCTAGGAAAGATAGCACTAGAGGCAGCCCAGAGCCATCGCAGTTGGTTGTTTCTGGTAATGGCTGCCGCATGGCAATGGCCTGTGTAGTTGGAAGCCATATTATGCCAGCCATTGCCACAGGCTGGGTATCGATAAAAACCCCAGAGCCCATGTGGGCGAAGTGTCCGTCCCAGCTGCAGTGTGTGGCCCATCAGTGCACGGGCAGCCTGCTCGAAGCCAGTGTGGGCTTTGTGGAGCTGTTCCTGAGGGTCCGAGTCAGGAAATACCCGCCGTGCCCAAGCCAAGGAGGCTGCCCGGTAGACTTGGCGATGGGGGCCCCAGTTCCCAGCCCAAAGTGGATACCACTCTTCCCAGTCCAGCACTGCCAAGCCAGCAAAGCTAGGCCCTAGGCTGTGGAGGATCTGGTGGGCAGCCTGTGTCAAGTGGCGATCTAGTGACACAGCTTGAGGGATACCCCCATTGTGGGCTGTGCCTCTAGGTCCAAAATAAGGATAAAGACCAAACTGGTTCTTGTAGAAGATGGTGATGTTTTGGCCATGAAAATCCTGGCCATGGTTGGCTACGATGCTGAGGGTATTGAGTGGTAGGTGCACACCAAAGTGGGCCTTACATCTTGCTGAGGGTACATTCCACAGCACAGAAAAGGGACGCTCAGGAACCTGCAGCAAAGACTGGCCATACACCAAGCATAGGGCTACCCCCACCACCAGGGTTAGGCCTAGCTGCATGGTCGTGCCACAAAGACGGAAACCTGCAGGAGAGAGGGGGTATGCGCTTAGCATCCATGGCCAAGGCCATGCCTTTTGCATGCAAGGAAAGCTGGGAAAGCTTCCCAAGTTCTTCCCTTCAGGGAAAGGGGCCGGGCTGGGATTGAACATGGCTCCTGATTACTCATAGCCCAAGCATCCTGAGCTGTTCCCCTCCAGTGTTCTCCATCTCTGGTAAGGCACCATCATGTTCTCTGAGGCTTCCCCCCCCCCAACTCATGGCTGTCACAAGTCCCCTTCCTTCCCCTGCCCATCTTGTCTCTGCCTTAAGAACATCAGTGCTGGCCTTCTTGCAACCCTGGCTTAATTCACATTCAGCACTCAGGCCTCTAACATTCCCCATCTCGCAGACCCTGGGGGAAGTGAGGGCACTTGGGCTCCCAGCATGAGACTTGCTGCACACACATACCCCACCACTGTCTACAAATTCCTCACTGCCTACGTCCAGTGCAGGGCTTGACACATAGAAAGTGCTTGGTGAATGGTAATGAGTGAGTGAAAGGGGAAAGGAACAGTTACCTGGGCCTGGAAGAGGAGGAGGAACAAAGGACAGATATTACATCAATGGCTCTTGGGCCAAGTTGGATAGTAGGGCTTCTGCAGGGACAAGGGCTCTGGGAAGGGGGTTTAACAAATAAAATGTCACAGCCATACCTAAAGGAACCTTTATTCAGCCACACTAACAGCTCTGAGCCGAAGCTCTGAACCCACCTCCAGGCCCATTGGTACCCAGGAAACACACAGACTAAGGTTGCCCCCAAGGGCTAGGGGGCTAAAATATGGCCAGTGGGCTGAGGCTGGGATTGTTCTGGGCAATTCAATGTCCCAGAAAGACAGCGCCTATCTTTCAGATATCTTTTTCCATCCAGAATATAGGGCATCCCTTCAGATCTCTGTATCGTGTCTCTAGCAGGCTTTGAGGGAGGGGCCCTGGTGAAGGAGGGGGTGAGGTGGTCAGAGACTGGGGTAGGGGAGGAGGTGGTGGCAATGGGGGTTCCTTGGAGCTCCTTGGGACAGCTTGGGCAGCTAGGATAGGCCCCTTGCAGGGTGGCTGGGGGCAGGGTGTCTTAGAAAAGGCACGAAGGAAGGTAGTGGGCAGCCGACGGTTGGTGAAGACCAAACCCTGCACAGGTTCGCCCAGGTGGTAGCCCAGATGGGCATAGAAGTATAACTGATCATGAGTAGTGAGGTGCAGCCGACGGAAGCCCCGGGCTCGGGCAAAAGCCTCCAAGCCCTCCATGAGGCGGCGGCCAAAGCCACGGCCCCTCAGAGCCCGGGCTACCACCACTGTCTCAACTAAGAGGCTGTGGGGCTGGTCCAGTACCCGTGATAAGCGGGCATGGCCAACCACAATGGGAGATGCTTCAGGTGTGGGATGAGGGCTCAGCAGCATCAGGCAGAGGGGGAAGGCATCTGAGGACTGGCCCAGGGAGTGGAGACGGGAGGCACGGCTTCGGGGCCACTGGTCATTGATGAGGTCAGCACAAGCACTCAGGAGCTCAGGTCGGCAGTGCACAGGCTCCAGGGTCAGCTCAGCTGGGTTGAGGGCTGGGGTCTCCTCTGCCTGGAGTTCAGGATCCAGAGTCAACTCAGCTGGGCCAGGACTGAGGGTCATCTCTGGGTGGCATGTGGATTCCAGGGTCAGCTCAGCTATCCTGGGATTCAGTGACAGCTCTGGTTGGCGTGCAGGATCCAGGGTTAGCTTGGTCAGGTTGACTCTCAGGGTCAATTCTGGCTGGCATGCAGGATCTAGAGTCAGCTTTGCTGGGCTGGTACTCAGGATCAGCTCCATCCGCTGCACGGGGTCTAAGGTAGGGGTCAGCTTGGCTGGGCCAGGTCTCAGAGGCAGCTCTTGCCTACAGGTAGGATCCAGGCTCAGCTGAGTCAGGCAGGAAGCCAAGGTCACTTCCTGTTAGGTTTCAGGTGCCTCATTGCCAGGCTGGAGGGTAAGGTCACAATCTCCAGGCAGTGGCATCTCCTCATACAAGGTTCACCTCCTGTGGATAACAGCCATGCTAGGCTGTATCAGGAAGACGGGGTTGGGGCAGGGGAGGAGGGCTGACGGAAGGGGGGGGCATGCATGTGGGAACTGGGGAATGGTGTGCTTCATCTTGTCCTACGTGCACTGGAAAGTACAAGTGTCCTACCCCAACACTGGAGGGAGGCTGAGGGTGGTGATGGTAAGTGCTGGAGACTGTGCTAGAACCCACAAGTTCTGCCTACAAATGTTGTAAGTGTTCTTTACAATAGCTCACTGTGCCAGGCTAACCAACCTAGCCCACTTGCTGGCTCCCTTTGGCTTTTGTTTGGGTCCCCCCTCCCCCCCCCTCTGTCTCTCTCTCTCCAGGGTATATAGTCTACGCTTGCCTCAAAGTAGTGATCCAACTGTCTCAGCCTCCTAAGTCCTAGGGTCACAGGTATCAGCCATCACCATGCTGAGCAGCCTGTCTTATCTTTAGTAGTCCATGACTGTAGCTGGCAAGCCTTGGCAGAGGGTGATCCAGACATCCTACCTCTAATTTGCTTCCACTTGAGTTTTCTTTTTCAGAAGAAAGATCACCCCCAAGGGCTACCCTGTCTCTTTCCCCCTCCATGTCAGCTCTCCTCTAGCTCTGGGCTTTCCAGCCATCCTAGCCATGCCTGCTGTCAGGTGGAGCCTGGGACCCAGGCAGGCACAAGGCCAGTCTCCCTGCACCCCACTGCCTTCCTTTCCTGCAGAACAGAGCCTACCCCTCCTCTCCAGTCCTCTCAGGACACTTTGGGCATAGACACAGCTGTCCCTGTGTTTGGTGCCCAGCATGCAGCTTGGCCCATTGCACAGAATGTAGCTTTTGCAAGCCTGCTTGCCTCCATCCTGAGTTGCACAGTTACCCTGATAAGCCCATGGCTTCCTTCCTAAATCTATAGGTGCCCAACGGCCACCAGGCTGGGGACCCAGGCCTCCATGCCTAAAACCTCATTGTTTACCCACCTTATTTTAGGTTCTGCTGGAAGGAGGGGCTAGGTTGGGGGTTTCTTGTAGTGGGTGGGCTGTTGAGTCCCACTATACTCATTTATTTCATCAAGTGCCCCCTGACTCCCTCCCAACTTTCCCCAAGCCTGAGTACTGGCAGCTCTCACCCCCTCACACAAATCCCACACGCTGGGCTTTAAGCCCCTTACCTGCAACAGTCAGCTCAGTAGAAGAGGCATCCCCTCCCAGCTCCTAGGGCTAAGTAAGGTCTGTCTGGAAAGAGGAACCTCCGGGTCCGCCTAGCCCAAGGCCCCAGGGTTCCCCAGACTGGCTTAACCCCTTCATTGCGGGGCCCCACCACTGTAGGTAGAGCGAAGCTCCGGGTATTCAGAGAGGGTCTGCACCTGTCCCTTATGGGACACAGGCCATGGATCTTTTGGGAGTTGGGGTTTTGAAAGCTTGATTATGGATGGGTGTGGCTCAGCATGCTCTTGGAGGGAAGGGCCAACGTTGGTAAGACTTGAGGGGCGACACGGCCACTTGGGGACCACAGACGCGGGGAGGATAGATGGGCAATGTGTGAGATGTGAGGGTGATACTGACATGTTAAAGCCGAGCTCCGGGATGGTCGGCGTCCAGCCTGCGCACGGTTTGGTATCCCGTCGTCTCTGCCTCGGATTCCTCGGTCTGCCTATGCTGGTCCCAGCAGTACGGAGGATTTACAGCAGTCTTCGCAGGCGACGGCGCACCTCCTCCTAAGTCCTCCGTGCCCGGAATGTCACCACCTAGACCCCCGCCCCTGGTTCTGAGCGCGTCACAACAGAATTAAAGCAGTCCCATTCGGTCCCCTGCCTTCTTCGCTTCCGGCGGCGTCTAGGCCTGAAGCTTCCTGCCATGGCTCCGCCTCCTCTTGGCCCGGCCCCCTGCAGGCCCTGCTTCTGACTTCGAACATCTTGCCTGGGTTTGGCTTTTCCTGAGGGTCTCACCACCCCAGGCTCAAAGGAAAGGAGTTTTGTGAAAGAAAGGAGCCTTTCCAGTGCTCTCTGGATTCTGAGACCTGCCTATTTTAGGGGCTAATTAAACAGCTAAGTAAAATACGACAGCTTTGTTTGCTGGGTTGAGCAGTGCTAGTATCTCTCAGCAGATTCAAGGATCCTGTAGAGTAGTGTTATTGTGTTTTCCCAGCTCACATAGGGCAACATCAACACACCGTAGGTGTGCAAGGTTCTATCTTTGGAGCCATATAGCCTAGATTTCAATATGCATCTCTCTTGGTTTTGTTTGTTTTGTTTTGAGACAGTCTCTCTATGTAGTCCTGGTTGTCCTGCAGCTCAGTATGAAGACCAGGATGGCTGGCCATGAACTCAAAAAGACTCCTGCCTCTGCCTCCGAGTGCTGGGGTTACAAGTGTGCATCATCATGCCTGGCTTTGCTTGTCTCTTCTTTCTGGGCAACACTGGACAAAAAGTACTCACCATCAGGGGCTAGGAATATGGTAGTGGTAGAGTATTTGCCTAGTGTGTGTGTGAGGTTCCAAGTTCACTTCCCAGTACAGCAAAAAATAAGTAAATAAAAAGTATTCACTCAGCCGGGCATTGGTGGTGCGCACCTTTAATCCCAGCACTCGGGAGGCAGAGGCAGACAAATCTCTGTAAGTTTGAGGCCAGCCTGGTCTAAAGAGCGAGTTCCAGGACAGGCTCCAAAGCAATTTAGGGAAACCCTGTCTCAAAAAGTCAAAACAAACAAAAGTATTCACTTTCCCTGCATGTCTTGAATTGTGAAGAGTGAGTTAGACTACTTCTAGTGCTAACGTAGCACAGGGCTTGGCAGAGAGCAGACAAAACACAGATGTCACCTTTTGTCACTGCTGACTCAGATTCTGAAGGACTTGCCTATGATCCTGCCGAGTAGTTCCTTATAGGCACAGAACTGAGTGTCTTAAGTCTGACTCACTATGTGACTGCCCTATGAGTGTGCCTGTGTCCGTGTGACTAAGGCAGTGGTTGAGCATACTCCTGACTGACTGTGACTTGTGTGCATGTGACTGTATTTGAGGAAGTCATAGGTAGGCCCGGGGTATGTTAGTTGCTCAGTGTCTGCAGTCTGGCACAGCTGATCACTACATACCCTGCTTCTCACAGCGCTTTCCATACCATCCACCATAGCATCGACACTTGAACTTCACAGCCATCTGTGCCTGATCCTTAAGTGACAGGGTACCCTTGAGGCTGGGGGACCTGCCATCGTGTGTTAGCTGAATGGAAAAACTGGCAGGGTCGAGGGTGAGCAGAGCCTCAGGATAACTGGGACGGCGGGCACAGCGACCATGGCCGGAACATAGAGCTTCACTGCAAAGAACAGCTGCACTGGTCACGTTCAGGATGAAAGGTCCAAGTGTGGAATCCATGTACTCTTTAATGGTCTGGCAGGACTCCTGGGTGGGAAGGAGAGTATCAGCCTTGTATGAGCCCACTTAGTCCTTACTCAGCCCTTACAGGTAAGCAGTACTTACCTTTGCTTAGCCAGGATTTCAGGGGTACAAAGAGTCTCTCCTCATCCCTACCCGTCCTCCCCTCCTCCCAGGCCTCAACTTACCTTGGTGGTGGTGTTTCCGGAGCTCACCCACACCACCACACCCGCTGCTCCCTGAGCTGCGCTCTCCCCGATGCTATGTTCCAGCTCCTCCTGGGAAGGAGATCGCATGGGTCTATGGATGCTACTGTCCTTCCTGCCTGTGGGAACGGCTTCCACATCACTGGATGGGACAAATAATCTGCAGCCTTCACTGCTGTAATTCAGGCAAACCTGGCCCCACCTCTCACCCACCTGCACATGGCTCGCTCTTTTGGGTTTTCAAGACAGGGTTTCTCTGTTGTAGCTTTGTAGACCAGGCTGGCCTCCAACTCACAGAGATTGGCCTGCCTCTGCTGGGATTAAAGGCGTGCACCACCACTACCTGGCTGTACCCTAGATCTTTAAAAGAAAGGTTCTACCCATTTCTGCTCTTTTCCCCACTGTTTTTCTAGAAGGCAGACAGGACATTTTCCTGTTTCTCCCCCTCCCCCACCTCTGCCTTTTTCTCTTCTGTCCTGTCTCTTTATTTTCTTACCTCCCCCTTAATAAAATTTTCAATATGAGTTGCGTCTACAGGTCTCTGTTTCCACATCCACCCGCTATCCAGTCCATCACCTGCCCTGGGACGCAGGTCTTCTCACTCTGAGCATGGGACCAGGGACCTGCCACCTGTGGTTCCAACCCATTATTCTTTATTCCTAACATTCACCTGAGGTTGCTCTAGGGTGATGGTCAGGGATGACCCTGTTCTCTGTCTAGCCGGTAAATAGACAGGAACTAATTTTTCTATTACATTCTGAGTCATCCATGCTTCAAACAGAACTTGGCACAAAGTAAATGCCCCATGTTCGTGGGACTGAATGGACAGAGCACTGGGGTATTTAAGTCAGTAGGAAAGCATTTGTACAATGCCCTGAGTTTGACTCCCCACACCAAAAAAAAAAGAAAAAAAAGAAAAAGATAGTAGTACCCTGAAGATATGTGATATGTGACTCAGGGGTTGAACCTATTGCCTTATTACCTAACAAGGAAGGCTGACAAGGTAGACAAGGTCACAGAGGACTCACCAGGGGCAAAAGATGATTTGTCATTTCATAGAAGATCTGTACATAGGGCAGGATGGGCACATTGGGGTCTCTGGAAGCTGTAGCTACACGGAATGCCTCTTGCACACGATGTCGAACATAGAGCTGTGCCTTCCCTGTGCCCATCAGTGCTGCAGGCAAGTAGACACTGGGATAGAGGGCATAGCTCTGGTTCCACAACCACTTTAGCTGGTCATTCTGGTCACGGATGTTTTGTGAGCACTGTCCTGTGTAATTGGGACTTAGAAAGTCGTGGTTGTAGCAGTCAGGGAAGCCATAGTAGCCCCAGAGGCCATGAGGACGCAGTACCTGTCCCAGCTGGAGGGTGCCTGCCATCCAGGCCTGTGCAGCTTCCTGGAACTGGTCCTGAGCTGCTGCCTCCACTAAACTTTCTGGCCAGTCAGGGTGCTCTGCCTGGACCAGTGCCACTGAGCGTTGTCGATAAATGTCCTTGCTATCCCAGTTGAAGGCCCATCGTGGGCGCCATGCCTCCCAATCAATGACTGCCAGTCCTGAGAAGTCAGGTTCAGGCATGACAGCCTTGATGTCCTGGAATGTGCAAGCGAGGTGGGTAACCAGGCTGGCATTCTGGGGCAGGCCACCAAATATGGGTTCCCCGGTAGAAGTGTAGTAGGGGTAGGTGCCCAACTGCCAGCTGTAGAAAATAGTCATGTTAGGGCCTTGGAAGCTCTGCCCCTTGTTGGCAATCACATCAAACACACTGACATCCACATCCACTCCATAACTCTTCAGGCACCAGTAAGTATCTGCATTCCAAATAGTGATGAACGGCTTGTTGGGTACCGTGGAGCCTCTGAAGCCTTGGGCCAAGTCGAGCAAGGTCAGGAAGAGAGTATAGATGTAAAGCAGGTGGGCTGCAGTGGTGTGGGGTGGGATTGGAGAAACCTGGCCAAGGAAAGCAGAATTCAAGGTATGTATCAAACTCTCTGAACCCTGCTTGAAGTAGGGTAGGGTTCCTCAGAAGTTTGTCCCTGCTGTGATTTTAGTTGAATATTGATCTGCAGGGCTCAGTGAGGTCAGTGAGCAGAGGAGAGGCTTGGAGAGGAGCAATACCACGGAAGGTACAAGCGAGACTCCTCTGTGGCCGGGACCCTGCCATCTGCTTCCTCCAAGCTTTGTCTTGGCCTCAGCTTATCCACCCTTCTCCCCCAAGGGCCAGAGGAAGTGTCACATTTCTTCTGAAAAAAAGAGCTGAGAGCTGAGCCTCTGCCCCAGACCGACCTGATGAGTAAGGGAGGCCATTACGTTTCTCCCACCAGAAATCCTGGCAGCATTGGGAAAAGGGATGCTCAAGTGACCAAGAAGAAACCAGCCCTGGAAACCCGCCAGCTGCCCACTTGTCCCTGCTGACCTCAGGACTGAAGGGCTTCATTCTCCAGATTTCCTGGCCACGCTGTGTAAGCGCAAGCATGGCTTGGCTGAATTCTGTCCCACAAACTGGCCCTGGTTACCCCAACTTTGAGAAGCTGCTGCTGTGGCTGCTGCAGCTGCTGCTTCGGGGAAATTCTGAGCTCTTATAGTCACCCCACCCAGCTTTATAGGCTGGTCTTGGCACAGGGTAGGACTGGGGCTGGACTAGCTACAGCCCCTCCCACTCAGACAGCACTTGGGGGAGGGCTTTGTGTCCTTACTGGGGCTGGAGGAAGACATTACCAATAGGTCAATCAAATGTGTGGTCCCTGAGGGCTTACAGAGTACTCCACACCGCTCTTGACTGTGATGTTTCAGGCTCTAGGCCCTTTTGCCTTTGTGGGCCCCTTCCTCATTAAACCAAGTTTTATTTTGTTTTGTTTTATCCCTCTCTCCCTGCCTCCTTCCTCCCCTCTTCTCCCCCCTCCTCTCTCTGTGCAGTGCTGGGAATAGGACTCAGGATTTCATGCTTGCTAGCCAAATGCTCCATCACTGAGCTATATCCCTAGCCCTTCAAAAGGGCATTTTAAAATATAAGAAGACCTAGTGTGATGGCTCAGCCAGTTGAAACTCCTGTAGCCAAGCCTGATGACCTGAGTTCAATCCCTGGGACACACTTGGTAGAATTACTGTGTCCAGACATAACTGGACAAGTAAATGCATGGTCCCTGAGGGCTATGTGCTTATAGAGTACTTTCTCCATACCACCGTGACAAGTGGTGTCTTCTGACTGCTTCCCAAACACCATGGCATGCACATGCTCTCATGTAAGTACAAATAAGTGTAAAATGCTGATTAAAAAAAATAAAACAATGAAGAGCAATAGTGAAATACAGTCCAAATTGCCTTTACACCACGCATACATATAACACACACATATGTACACAAGCCAAGCAAAACATTTTTGTGGATTCTTAGAAGTATGGTGGCTCTAAGCCCTGTCTACCTGCCTTGCCTAATGGGTAACCTCCCTCTCTATGGGAGGTGGTGTGTTCATGAAGTTGAGATGTGTCATCACCCTTTAATGTGTCAGTGATTGTGTCTTTGTAAATGAAGCTCTAGGTGGTACCTGGGCTACTGCCCAAACTCACAGGGGTTTATACATACACGTGTGGAGACTCAGTGCCTGGGACCACGTGTGAGAGATCCTGTATTTGCATGGCCATGGGAGTGGGCAGGGGTCTATTAGTGAGTACACGCACGAGTAATCCAATTATGTGCTCATGCATTTGTAGTTTCACTAGTTCACTGAGTCATAGGCTGGTTACTGAGATCTGCTGGGTGCTCAGGCCCAGGCTTGCCTGCAAGGGTTGGGAAAGTAAGGGAGGAGAGGACAAGGCCCTGCCCAGGGTGAAATGCTTTCTGGGCCGGCAGCTGGTCCTGAACCGCCGGACCTCTTCCTTGGTGGCCATTGGCATTGGCATTCACAGTAAGGCTACCATAGGGGCTTGGTGTCCCTCTTCCTACCCTGACCCTTCCCCTACCCCTCATGGCAGTCTGGTTATCTCCGGTGTGGTTTGACTTTTTCTAAGGAAATGTGGACACTTCTATTCATCCCAGATAGGGTCCTGACAGCAGGGCCAAAGAGATGATTCTGTCCAAGTCTAGCATTGTTTGTTTGTTTGTTTGTTTTGGTTACATGACAGAAGGAACATGAGGGCCTACTTACAGAAGCAGCATGGGTGACTCAAAGGCAGCGACATTACCAAAAGGTCCACCCTAGCACAGGGACCCATACACAAAGCTGTTTCCTTATAACAGCTTGCTAACTTGTAGGAAGTGCTGCTCTACAGTTTTGGAGAGGGGGCTCATGAATCTTGTCACTTTCTAATATATGTGCACACACACACACACACACACACACACACACGAAGGGGGCTCATGAATCTTGTCACTTTCTAATATATGTGTGTGTGTGTATACACACACACACACAGTTTTGTTTTGAGATGGTTTCTCTCTGTAGGCCTGACTGTCCTGGAACTCACTGCTTGCTTAAAAAGTATATGTGCATATTGATCTTTGCCCTGCTTTGTTGAATTCTATTATTTTTCCTCTTCTTCAGATTTTAAAATTATTAAGTCTGGTGTGGTGGCACATGCCTGTAATCCCAGTGCATGGGAGGTAGAGGTGGGTAGATCTCTGTGAATTCAAGACCAGCCTCATCTACATAGTGAGCACTAAGCTAGCCAGGGCTGCAAAGTGAGACTTTTATCTCACAATTCATTTTGTTTTTGTTTTTTGAGACAGGATTTTCCTTCGAAACAGTTCCAGCTGTTCTGGAACTCACTCTGTAGACCAGGCTGGCCTCAAACTCCTAGACACCCACTGCCTCTGCCTCCCAAATGCTGAGATTAAAGGCATATGCCATCAGCAGGCTCCTCTTTTAAGAGATATACCTGAATTATATGAGCTAAATCCATTTACATACATATAAATTCATGAGAGCTATACCCATATAATTCAGGCTGGCCTCCTAGCCAAGGCTGGGCTTGAATCCCTGATCTTCCTGCCTCTGCCTCACAAGTTACAGGGATGACAAAAATCATCATCTGGTTCCTCTGCATCCCTTTCATATCTCAGCACAGTTGCTGGGTCCCTCACTTTGTTATGAGTGAACTCAGGACCTAGTGCAAACTAATCATGGAACACTTGTAGAACCACTAAGTTTCTTGAGGACAGGGCTGAAAGGGTGAGTCATCACTGACACTCTGGGGAGTGTGAGGGAAGAATGATGTAGGTAACACCTGTTAGAGGCAGGCCTAATAAAGCAGCTCAAGAGTTGCTCCAACTACCCTAACTGATATTTCTCTCTTCTGGAACTTCCATTAGTCCCATGGTCGGGATACATTCTGGTGATCATATATGCTAGGCAAATGCTCTATCACTGAGCACGCACATGCATACACACACACACACACATTCATGAATCTGGCTCCAAAGCTGCCCTTTGAGGATGACCTTTCTTCCCAGGTCATTCCCAACAGCTCCATTTTGCACCTGCATAGTGACAGGGACTAGCACTAATCATCTGCCAGCTTCCCTCCCAGACCCAAGAGAAGGCTGTGACTCAGATGTCGAGAGGGGCATGTGACAGGAATCCGCTGCCACTGGGAGCAGGGAGCAGAAATGCCCTTGTTTGTAGGAACATCCGGGAAGATTAAGCACACTTCCCCTTTTTCCAAGAGTGGCTGAGGTAAAAAAGCTGGCGTTGGCCCAGTCTGGGACATTGGGAAAGGTGGCAGATACATACCAGTCACACAATGGTGGGCCCAAGCCCACTCCAGTCAAGATAAAGTGGAATTAGCCTTAGAGTGAGAATCTTACTTGGGTCCTGCCCCAGCCCAACTGCTGAGTGGACAACTCTGCCTCCCTAGGCCCCAGTGGAGTCAGAGCTGAGCTTAACCTCACGGATAACCCTGGGCTCCCTTGTAGCCCGGAAGCAGAAACCAAGCACAGTAGTTGTTTTATATTTAATTTACAAAAGAGACCCCAAAATTATAAACTATCCCGGAGCAGGGGAGTAGAGTCAGGCCTTCCCTGGCCTAACTATACTCTCCTTCTCCGCCAAGACAAGGGGCTTCTCAGGGGATTTTTCTCTCCCCCTTAGAACAGGGGGGTGACAGCTGGTATGGATGCCTCCTAGGCATCCCGGAGGCTCTGCCCACGCCAGATTCATTTGTCTACCCCCAACAGGCTCCTCACGCCCAGATCCTTGTGCCAGAGGCCAGCTGGACTGATATCCCAGGTGGTGAGGCCCCCTTATAAGGTCCAGGTGAGGGCCATAGCTACCAAAGCCGGCAGGCTGATGAGGTGGGGCCCAGCCCAGGCTCTACTGGCACTTCCGGCTGCCCGCTTACGGTCCCACTGGCATTGCTCGCCACCCCAGCCCAAGTAGCATTGGCAGCGAAAGTGTGTCTGAAGGTAGTTGAGGTCGGCATCGCTGAGCTTCCCCTCGGGTCGCAGCTGGGGTTCATTAGGTGTACGGCCAGGCACTAGGCGGAAGCTGCTGGCACTGAGGTGCAGGAAGGTATTGGCGCTGGGGTTGCGGCGCACACAGCGCCCATGGCCATTGCACTGGGTCCAACTGCAGTATTGGGTGGCCCAGGACACATTGACTACGTAGGGGACCAGCCACTGTGTTAGGTAATTCTTGAGGTACTGGCAGGTCTCCTGGAGGAAGAGGCCAAGATTAACAGGTGAGCATCCAATGTTAGCATAGTCAGCCCAAAGCCCTGATAGAAACCATCTACACTATGGTGAGAGCGCCTCTTTCTTTTGGTGGTGGCGGAGTTGGAATCCTAGACTAGGCAAGTGCTCTACTGAAACCTCATCCTTGGCACACTTATCTGTGTACGTATGTACAAATCATATACACAGTCCCCGAGCCTTTGCAGTCCTGTCCCTAGGGCGAAGGGTGGAGACGGACTGGGGCCCAGCTGTGCGCATGAGGAAGGGTGGGCACTCCAGCTGATCGGGACAGCATTTCCTCTTCCTGGGAACAGGGTGGGGGTGCCCTTCTCTGTTGGGTTCAGGGACAAAGCCTCCCTGCTAAGAAGACAGACAAGCTAGACTCAGCCAGGCGAGGCTGGAAAGACGTGTACAGTACTCCCAGGTATGGCTGGCTGGGGAGGTCTCTCTTACCATACTCGAAGCATACACTGAGTCGCCCCAGAAAATGACACCAGCCGAGCCCAGGGCTGCACTCTCCCCGATGGTAGAGATGAGGTCCATCTGTGTGGGAAGGGGTGACAGCTGAGGAAGACTGACACCAGACGGGAGGCGAGGAGCACACCTGTTCTAACCTGCTGCCTCCAGGCAGGGCTGCTCTGCTGTCTGTTTACATCCATTTCCACCCCCACTCTGGACTTCTGTCTCCAAAGCCAAGAGCACCCACGAGCCCACAGAACCAAGGACACAGCACACGCTCTGCCTCCTGAGTCGGGATGATTGGCTCTAACTGTGTGCCCTTTTCATGGCCTCGGCTTATCTACAAAAAGGGGATGACATCACCCTTCCAAAGGTTACGAGACATGGGACAGGCAGTAAACTATAGCTCTTTTGGTCCCTGATAACCCAAGCATGCAGGGTTCCTAGAGGAAGGAAGAAGGCAAGGCTCCGGAACACATACCTGACTAAGTCCTGTGAGTCCTCGGGTGTATGTGGGGCGCGTGAAGACATACACGGGGAGGGCATGGTTTGCATGGTGGGTGTGAGCCACACGAAGGGCCTCCCGAACACGGAAACTGACAAAGTTGCGGCTGTGTGTGGAGGAAGCCAGTGTCTCGTCCAGGTACACAGAGGGAAAGAGAGCGGTACTCTCGGCCCAGAGCCAGGCCAGCTGGTCGTTGCGAGCCACTTCCACATCAGGACAGCGGCCTGTGTAGCTCTCCCAGTTCTGTACGTAATCATGATTATAGCAGTCAGGAAAGAGGTAGAAGCCCCAGAGGTGCTGAGGTCTGACCGCCTTGACATAGCGTAGTGTGTTCAACATGAACTGCCGAGCAGCAAACTCAAACTCATATTGTGCCTGTTTCACTATTCGGTCTGACGGCCAGTCAGGGTGCCGACTGGCCACCAGCTGGCGTGAAGACTGTCGGTACACGTCCTTCTCCTGCCAGTTTCTCACCCACACAGGCCTCCATTCCTCCCAGTCAATGACGGCCAGCCCCCCGGGCTCCTGGGTGTGAATGTAGTGCTCCACAGATTCCTTCAGCATGGGCAGGTGTGCACAGAGGCTACCGTTCTGAGGCACACCACCATGCACAGACACCCCGGCTGCATCGAAACGTGGATACAGGCCCAGACGGTCATAGTAGAAGGTGGTGATATTCTGGTTGACAAAACCCTCATTGGGTGAGGCCTCCACATCAAAGGCCCTAAGGTCCAGTGGCACTTTGTGGCGTGGGGCACATTCTTGTGTGGGCACATTCCATGCTACCACAAAGGGTCGGCCAGTAAAGATGGGTGGCACTGTGGGCTTAAGTTCCACGGCCCATGCTACCTCCAGCACTAAGGCCAGTGTGATGATGGGACCCAGTCCTGCCCGCATGCTGGGGGCTACAGGAAGTGTCACCTGCCTGGTAGCAGCTCAGGAACTGAAGGAAGTGGGGGGAGAGAACAAATCAGTCTAGAGAATTCCAGAGATGTGCACCTCAAGCCCACCTACACTCCCAAAAGCCATACGCCGGTGCACATACTGCCAAGGTTGTAAGAGGTTTGAAAGAGCAGGATACTGAAGGGTAGGCGAGAGACTTTAGAGACTCTACCAAAACCACAGAGTTCTTTCTGGAACTGCCTGTGGCTGGCCAAGAATCTCCTTTAAATCTGTGTCTCTTCTGAAAACGGGTCGAATTACGCTACAGACTCATGGCCAGAGTCACTTACATGCCTATATACTATACAGTACATGGTTTTAGAACACCCCCAACCCAAGCTCCACCCTACCCCCCCCCCCAGCCAAGAACTCTTGATTCACAGAAGGGACAGCATTTGGGCACAATGCATGTAGAAGCTGAGAAGCTGTTACGGACACCACAGAGAAACTGGTATCTGTGCAACATGCTCCAAGCAGAGGCGTTTGGCTGTCAGACTTCATCTCGGGCGCCGACACTGTCCTCCTTGGCTTGGAGTAGGCGCCCCGGGGACAAAGGGGCAGCGGGCTTCGCACCGGCCGACCTGCCCTTCCCACCACAGCCACGGAGAATCTGTGCGAGCCCTCGCCACCGCCCTAACCCTCACCTCCTAGCATCAGGGGTCCCGAGTGGAGGGTATTCCTCCTGGTCTTTGTGCGGGACCCCGCCCCCGACCCGCACGTGGGGCCAGAGTTCACCCGGGTGGGGGTGGGGCTCCTGGGTCATTTAGGAAGGCGCCCCTGGAGATTCAGAGCCCAGCTCACACGGAGAGAGTCACCAGGCGTGTAACGCCCGCCCTCACCTCGCACCAGGCGCCACCGGGACCCACGCCAGGGCCGCCGCCATCCTGGTACCAGCCAAGCCTGCTCCGGCCCTTCGCCCAAGCACGGCCCGAGCGCGAGCCTCTGCTGGCTCCGCCCCGAGGCCCGCGGGCCCTTTAAGAATCTCGCCTCGGAGGTGGGCCGAGGGCAGGATTTGCGGTCTCGCGGGGAGGGTGTGTTCGCCTTCCTTTCTTCCGGTGCTGCGTTTCGAGTTCGAGGACCACCAGATCTTCTGTAGAGGAACATAGGCATCTCTCTGGGATCTAATACCTCTTGGAACCGGGATTCCCGCTACAGTCTCGGCCGCGAGAGCTAACCAGCCTGAGCTAGTACCCCCACAGTCTGCCGCCAGTGGAACAATCCACTCTTTGCAGCCGGCCCCTTAAAGGGATAGAACACTAGATGGGGCGGGCGGGCGCGGAGGGGAGTGGTGGTGGCTTGTGGAATAAAAACTTATGACCGAGGCCTTGGCTGGGGGTAGGTGCGGACCCAGTCCCACATGCCTGAATGTGGGCTCTAGCAGTGTGGGCCCTTTGTATGGTATCAGAGATTTTGATCTGAGCGGATCCGGAGCCTCTTGGGACATTGATGACCGCCTTCTGGGATCCCCGTTTGCGGTCAGAGGGAAGCCCCGCCCCTGGCCTGTCTAGAGGAGGGGGCCTGGTAAGGCCTCCGAGCCCTCCCCTGGCGAAGCAGACGCCGCGGGCGTCCTGGTAACCAGGGGTACGTCGCTGAGCCGCCCGAGGGGCTAGAGTTCAGCCTGGCCTAAGAGGAACGTGGTCTACCCGCTTCCTCCGGATCCACACTAGGGGAGGCCAATCCCCTGGATTCTCTGCGACGAGGTGGAGGTGGGACGGCTGTCCGTAGGGGGACGCGCACTCAACTCCAAATAAAGTGCAATTCGCAGAAGTTTCGGGCCAGACTTTGTGGAAAGTAGGCTGCAGCGGCTACCCAGCGCCTCTAGTCCGTATCCTGAGCCCTCCTGCCGTTGCAAACCCCGTCTGGCAGGGAGTAGGTTTAGAACTGTTCCATCGCCTCTTAGATCTGCTCCCCACTGCACGACTCAGCTCTCCGAAAGCCCGCATCTAGCCGCCAGCCCCTCACCGCCAGCCCCTCACCGCCCGCATGTCTGAACGCTAGGGAGCCCCGCAGCAGCATCTAAGGCAGCGCCCACCAGCTTTATGTGGTTTCTCTGGCCTCACCTGTGTGGGTCCGTCGGCCCAATAGGTCGGCGGCCTCCCTTCTTCCTGAGGTGTGCTTCTCCAGCCAGGCTACTGGTACCAGCTGCTGCCCAGTGGGCAGCCTGCTGGGGATTAGATAAACCCCCTCCCCTCCCACCCATTCCTGCCTCCTATCCCTGCCCTTCCTCCTCACTTCCTGCTGCCCCTCTGGGCGGAAAGGGACAGGAACAGCGGTGGGTGGGTGGGGAGGAGAGTCCCTCGATCCCGTTTCCCTTGCTGGCTGGCTGCTCTTTGCACCCTTCCCCTGAGTAGGATCTGGCCCCGGGGGTTTCGTCAAGTGACAGGAGGAATATGGGCCTAGGGTCAGGCTCTCATCTCCTTGACGTTTGAGTCATCAAATCCAGTAGTGAGGGGGCCCAGTGGCAGTATTCATGGGAGTCACACTGTTTGCTGGGTTGTTTAGCTAATAGTCCCGGAGAGTAGGTGCCAAAGAAGGAAACCGTCTCTCCCACGAGGGGGAAAGAGGGGGAAACTTGGGTGGGGTGGGGTCTTCCAGTAACGGAGTCAATTTTTTCCCATTGAGAGCGGACGTATCTGAAGTGTGTCGAAGCAGACAATGTGACAATGAGTTGACGCCTGTGCCTGTGTGATAAGGGAGTGGGTGGAGGCTAGGAGGGTCTGTGGGATAAAGGGGCTTCTTCACATGAGTGTATGTGCGTCCCTGTGGGAACAGGAGTTCACAGCAGAGACCCCGAAGACTAGCAGGGTCCCATCTGACCTCCCTGGAGGTACAGACAAATTTGTCAACTTTCAAATCACCCTGAACCAACCACCCTTCAGAACCCAAGTGGCTCACGTCCCCAATGCTAGGGAGTCCCTCTGCTAATAAAAAGCTGTATGGGAGCTAGGAGTCTAGCCTAGGCTGTGGTCCTACCTAGGAGCATCCCTGAACCACTGTGTTGGCTTCATAAGGGACAAAAGTCTAGGAAGCTCCAAGGGTGGGGACCCCTGGGAAAACAAAGGCCAGGCCAGACTGTCCAGGGCAGGGACACTTCCTTAGGCAGCCAGCAGGAAGGAAGTGAGCACAGCCCAGCCGGATGGAGTGGGGAGGATGGAGTGGGGAAACAGTGCCCTGACACCTCTATTGTTTATAGCTTTGGGGTCAGGTAGGCATGTCCAGAACAGGGAGTTCCCCCAGGGGGGATGGTGGTGGGAGATAGGGTATTGTCTGATAGATATGGGGAGCCCTGGCCCCTGAACAGGAGACGGAAGTCAGTCTACAGAACTGCAAGTCTAGGCCACACAGGGTGATCCTACAAGTTCTGGCCCTTGGGCAACTCAAAGGCCAACTGCTCTGACCCTGGGTTGATGAATTCCTCCTTCCTAATTGGAAATTCTTGAGCTTATGGCCAAAGGCTATGCCTAGCAGAGGACCTGCTCATACCCTGAGAGACGTAGGCAGAGAGCTGAGGAAGAACTGCGCACACAGCCTTACAGCTGAGGCCTGAGCTCATCTGTCTGCTGGTTAGCTGGGAAGAGTCAGGTGAGTGTGGACTCCAGAGTCTGGGAGGAGGCCAAGGGCATGGTGGGAAGTATCTGGTTGCTGTTCAACTATAGATGGCACTTTGAGGTTCATTGGGCTTAAGCTGTAACCTCACTTGAGATAATATGGTGCTGTTGGGACCAGAACTATCCCATAATTATGTGGTCACACTCACCCCTCAGGTAAGGCATCAAGGAGAATCTCCAGAAGCTTTCAAGCCCTCACTCCATATTAAGACAGGTGAGAGGCTCCCAGGGCTGGAGATGGTGTGTGAACACAGCCACCTGTTGGCCATGGCTGGTATTGCTACAGGCAGTGTTTAGACTTATCAGACTTATCACTGGCTCTTAGAGGGGCTTGCCAACCTGGCAGAGTTAAGGGCCAGAGGTTTACCTGATCAGCTCCAGTGGTAGTCTAGAAATTGAGTGTCAAAGCCTCTCTGGAAGCCACTCTCAGTGCAGGGTCTACAAATAATTTTATTGAAATTGAACAAATAACACAACAGTCTTCCTGTGCTGGGGACCACCCTCCCCAAGCCATTTTCCACACTCTAGAAGCCCAGAGCGTCCACAAATAAGGAAAAAAATTTTAAAGCCATCTCTATATAGAAATCAGACTCTGTCCCAACATTATCATAGTCTAGACTATTTACAAACCTTCACATTTTAATTACTCCTTTTATGTATTTTTTTTCCCCTTCTTTTGACCCTTACCAAGGAGCTCCAGTACTTTCCCTTAACTGACCCTGAAGGGGTAAAGATACTGTAGGAGAAAGGGTGATGAACTCCTCATAGCTACTGGCACCAGCCCTGGTGAGTCACTTACCACTGGGGGATGGGCAGCCCCTCCCCCACAGCCCGAGGATGGGTGGGACTGTACAAAGACAAGGGAGGTTCGACAGAATATGTGGTGTGGGGCGAGCCCCCACAGGCACAGGCATCCATAGCCTGTCCTGACCCCGGCCTGCACCCTCTAGACTTGGGAGGAGGGTAGTTGAAATCAGAGAGATCAGTCCAGCCCTGGGTGAAAGCAGGAGCCTCCCACACCGCTCCCCATTCGGATTTAACAGCCAGTCAACTGTCCATCTTAGAGTGGGAACAAGTGGCAGGCAGGCAGGAAGAATGTGGCTGGCACTATCCCCAGTCTCTATCCAATACAGGAGGAATCGAGGTAGCAAACGGCTGAAATGCTCTGACTAGGTAGGGGTGAGGGAAGTGAGGGAAGAGAGTTCCCACTTGGGTGCAGCCCCTACAGCCCAGGGGCTGGAAGAAGGCAGACTCTGCTTGTAAAGTGCTGTGGCTTCTAGGAGGGCTGGGCCCTAGGCAAGCTTGGAAGAAAGCAGGTCAGGCAAGTAAGGAGGAACCAGGCATTCCTGACCAGCATGTGTCCTGCCATGCTTCTTGCAGAAGTGGCTGGGGGAATGGGCTGGTAGTTCTGCCATTAGCCCTCACCAGCCACCAACCACTTATTGTTGAGACCAGCCAATACCAGTTAACACTGAGGGACTGCCCCTTTTACAACGGAAGGTTCTGGGCCAACGGAGTTTAGTTTATTCAGGGTTGAGGCACCAGCCTGGACTCCTGAATGGAAGCTACACCTTGAGCCTGGGAGTTTCTTGCTGGGGCAGTGGGTGCTTGTGTCTGCCATATCACAGGCTCACACTTCATAGAGGATCACAGGGAAATCCACGTGGATTCGAGGGGGATCCAGCTTCACGATGCCCTGCCACAGAAACAGAGGCTAGTAAAGATCGGCTCAGGGCCTCTGCGCTAGGAGCTTTCCTGTTATCCCCAGCTCCTCCCCCAGGAAACCCTATCTGCATCTGTTGACATACTGATGTCGATTATGACCACTACCCAGCCCCTCACCTGAGGAATCAGATTCTTATGTACCCGCCTCAGCTTGGCTCGCTTCTGTCCATTCTTGGTGACGATTGTCTCCTCGTAGAACTCGTGAGCCAGATCCCCATCTTCGTCATAGAACATGGAGCTATGTAGGGAAGGGCACAGGCTAGGTTAGAGCCTCACACCTGGTCCTGGCAAATGCCACAGACCACAGGCAAGCGTGCTGAACCCCAAACAAAGAGGCACAACTCTTAATCCTAGTGGAAGAACAGTGCGCCTCAAGAACTCTTGCTGGTGCTTGGAGTCACTGGAGGAAGTAGTGAGTGCTGCAAGGCCACTGTTACTGTCACGCTAAACTGTCATGCTACCAGGTCACTTCAGAGCACACTGTCCAGGCAACCGAAGCCAGTTCTCATCACTGGTCTGTTCCACAAGGGTAACTATTCCAGTAGCAGGCCCTTCTAAACAGGTGGGGTAGTGACCTGGGCATACTGGTCTCACTTCTAAAGGCGCTGCTGGTCTGAGCCAGGAAGGCCGCACTGCCACCCATTCCCCAGTGGTTGGTACAGCCTAATTGACTCTGTTGGTTGGGTCTTTTTGGTATTTACTGTCAAATCTCATCACGGGGAGTGGAGCTCCCTGGGTCCAGGCCAGTTTGTGTGAGTCCCTGGGGAAAAAGAGGGTTAGTGCTGCAGCTCTAGAGAACCAACTGGGCGAAGGCCTTTTTCTCGGCGGTCTCACCCTCGACAGAGGCCTAGCTCTGCTTTAACAGACACTACTTTCAGAGGTCCAACCTCACTGTGGGGAGGGCAAGGCACCTCAACAGAAGGTCATTCCCCTTAGATTCTTCTAAAGCTTACGAGAATAGGAGGTACATAAATGTCTTTAGTTTGCAGGCTGAGTTGGATGAAACCAAGATCTTAAGACTCTCAGAGACTCTTTGCAGGATTATGGGGGAGCTTCTACCCAAGGGCCAAGCCTCAGTCAACTCTTCTCTAAAAAGACATTATGGACAGTCAGGCGCTGAATGCCACTTGGTTTTTCCCCTACCCTTGCTCTGATGGGGATCCACAATGTGACAGTCGTCCTGATTCAAATGTTGGGAGGGGGGCGTTCCTCGTTCCCGGATGTCCTCCCCAAGCAGATAAGATACCCATGCCCTTACCCGCGGCGCGTGAAAACGAAGGGGGGCACCGCTCGGGCTCGAGATCGCACCAAAGATTGCTCAGCGCCTGCTGCCTCAGGGCCGCCGCCCCCCGTGGCGGAGGCAAAGGGCCAGAGGCCCCGAGCTTTGGAGCCGCTGGCGCCCATGTCAGCGCCGCCGGCGCATGGCGGACCCGGCGGCCGCTCCGCTCTCACAGTGCGGCGGGCGCGACCATGCCCTGCCCCAGCCTCCACTCGCAGGTGCCGCCGCCGCCGCCTTCCGCAGGCTCTGCTGTCTCCACGGAAACCTCACTTCCGCTTCCGTACGCCCTGCACGCTGCCTCCTCTGAGTGGCTAAAGACCTCGTCAATCTGTAGACTACAACCAATGGGGGCACCCACAGAGGCTGAACCACCCAGGATGCACTGCCTCCAGGTCCCAGAAGGCTATGGGTCCCAAGGGTCAGCTGGGACAGCTCCCTCCCTGAAAAGCGGAGGTAATGTGTTGTTGTTATAGACTCTAAGATCGGGCGGGGTATGA